CGGCACCGGGAATACAGCTCGCTTGACTCTGTCTCTACTGAGTGAAGAGGACCCACGCCTTGATCTGGCGAGCTGCGTTTTGGGAATTTGCAGTATGCTGTATTAGTGCATAGCGTAACTTGTACGGTAGTTCCTTGGTCATTTTTCTTTCCCTCTTAAGGTGGCTCCTACCCCTCGGGTCCAAATTTTTTTTGTTTGAAACGTGGCTACAAACGATTGTACTTTGTTCCGTTGGATATCTAGTGTACGGAGACAAATGTTTATCAAGTTCTACCGGCCAGTTTCACTCGGGGGAGGGGCCAAACATAGCATACTCACAATTGCCAATTTCGGCCAAAAAATACCGGAAAACCGCTTTTTTGGCCGTAGCACTGGTAGTTACCCCCTTTTTCTTGATGTCCAACATCAGGACAGTAGTATACTTGCTAAATATCAGCATAAGCTGTAGAAGTGGGTAGAATTCTGCTAGAAGGTGACCTTTTTTCTCTTTTCGGAATCATCCCATTTCAGCGCACACGTCCCACAAATTATCCCCGCCCACAAGTATTTGACACTGGACTTGCCCTGTATTTGATGGTTATGCTATCATAACCTAATAATGGTACTGTGTAGCAAGTTTGAGCAGGTTCTACCGAAGGTAACTCGTGAAATAAAACTTTGAAGTTTCAAATGATGCCATATTTCAAGAATCAGCACATTGCACTGGGACATTGTCCAACGCCTTAGAACCCCTGACTCCACCATATGACAGATACGTGTCTTACAATAATTGATTGCAACATCTTCCGAACATAGTAGTAGAGCTTTGGATCAAGTTTTAGCAGTTTCCACCAAAGCTAACTACCAAAATAGAACTTTGAAGTCGCCCACATACTAAATGCCATAGCTGAGCATGTGCATTGAGTGTATGGTCTAAAGGTTTTCACAACTAGCTCCAATGCGGCAGATACGCGTCTTACATTACTTGATTGCAACATCTTCAGAACATAGTGGTAGAGCTTTGGATCAAGTTTAGACAGTTTCTACCGAAGCAAACTACCAAAATAGAACTTTGAAGTCGCCCACATACTAAATGCCATACATGTGAGCATGTGTATTGAGTGTACATGTATGCTCTAGTGTTTTTCACAACTTTCTCCAACATGAAGCCGATAGTGATGTGGAATTTGTTGACTGCTTTGTCCAAAACATGGTGCTGAAGCAATGCACATTGGGCACTTTCTACTGGTAATGTAATTATTATATTTAATATACAGTGTTTGCTGCCAACATAGCAAGAAATACTTCTATACTAAATGCGTATTCCACGGGGTACGGTCCAATGGCTTTTCACTTCACATCTAGCCACTGTTCTTCGTGCATTACTTGAATGCTTAGTCTCCGTGGTAATGAAACTAAGAGCCACACTGGAGAAGTTTCTACTTAAGCTAACTATCAAAAATATAAAATTTCCAAGATGCTACTATTACATCAAGTAGCTGTGTGCAATGCCACTCTGTTGAACACAGTAAGCAAAATCGAGTCACTAAAACCCTATTTGCCAGATACAAGCTGTTGAGACTGATAGCAGCTGTATGATCTGATATGGATGGCGGTTCCACACTGACCAGCACATGTACACGCGCACAGGCAGAAGAACACACAAGTAATACACCTAACGTTACTTCGAAGTACACTGCGTACATCATGTAAATACAAGCGTATATACAAGCATCACTCCTGTTCTCCACAACGGGCAGTCCTGGGCCACTCCAGCTGGTCAGAGTGCAATAATTTCTGCAGCAGGCTTGACTTGGAAAGCTAATCACAACTGCCATGGCTGCAACATGAGTATTACCAGCGCTTTTACAGTGCTACTCGTATATTATTGTCAATCCATTGTGGTGCATGGCACTCGTTTTCAACACCCGAGTTTATGTCATTAGTTGCATATCCAACGCCAGCAGAAAAAAGCGGGGGTGGGGGCAAATTACCACGGTTCAACACTAGTCATATTGAACGGCGTTATGCCATGCCAGGCGCGCACACAAAACGCCCGCGCGAGCGCGCATGCATGTACACACCCGGGTGACACACATTCATGCGACTTTACATAGCCTGCACTGTCGTTCTATGTCATAGGAGTGAGTGCACACACATAATATATGTACATGTAGATTGCCTAATTTTGCATACGTAATAAAATTGTATATGTATACACACATCTGCGTGCACATATAGATAAACTCAACGGCATACGCATGAGTGTGTGCCAGTAGGGCCACATGCCAATTATCGGATTAGTCTGTGAAAGTTGCACGGCACGACAAACTTTCGGACAGTCTAAAGATATGACACAATGAATGTGGAATACCCTCCAGTGTGTAAGACCATTTCATATCTATTTCGCAGCGTTTGTGATTTTCGGAGCGTCCCTGTTGATATTTGATGTCCTCACTTGGTTGATGACACACTCACAAATTATCAAATTCACCTCCAATGCCATCCAATCTGCGTTCCGCGATACATGTACAGTGAACGGTGTTGAGGAAAGCCATGCAGCAATAAAACAGTCGAGACTCCCAAGCAGAGGATACAATTCTCGCAACAGCGTATTGAAGTACGAATTGTTCTAAACAATTTTCAAGACACAATTACAAAATTTGAAGTGCGTCTTGAAACGTGTTTGAAGTGCTTCGATGTATTTACCTTCGATCTCCCTGAATCGATCCATCCACAGCTACCTGACGAATTTGCCAGTCAGTGCGGGAGTTGATCGAGCAAGTTATAATTATTTGAAGGTCGCGAGATGTCAGTGGCACTGGCAGGAAATCTACACAAGCGTGTTCTGAAATAATTTTCTAATACTCAGGCATGATTCAAGAGCGGACTTTGATTTCTCCCTTCTTATGGTACGAGCACCAGTCGACATTGCATTCTTGGAAAATCTTCTGCGAGTGCTGCCTTCCCCTTTCATAGAAAGAACGAGTGAAGAGGGACACTAGCAGCAGGTTCTAGCAAGGTCGCCAGAATTGCAGAAACTGTTACTTTGCGAGAAGACGTTTCCTACAACCGTATTAATCGCACAAAAATCATCGCTACCGAAAAATTTACTGAAAATCTACACTTTTCAAACGATGCGCGCGCAGAGGGTGTGAGCCATGGCGGCACCTTAAAACTCATTTCGGCCTATACCAACTCACAAAGTACTGATTATAATTATTATGACAGTTGTATCCTATTGTCCTTTGGCTTTGGCTTTGGAGGTGGATTCACGTGATCATGGTTATTGAAGTCAGCGTCGAGATGTAGGTTTACGTCTGTGTCCGAGGATCGATGGACCCCCAGCGTCTTGCGTCTCTGGTGATACTCTTGTCCACGAATGGACTATCCATGGGTTCTGGCAGATATGGTGTCGTTCACAATGTGTTCAATGATGTCACTCATGTCAGTGATGATGAACTGGTGTATCGTGTATTGATTGTGTTCCTTTACTACGGTAACTAACGTTACTTCTAATCAGGGAGTCGTAAAAGCCCTTTTACGACTCCCTGCTTCTAATAGTAACACATGTACGGGGAGTTCTGATTGAACCTCGATGCCTCTAAGCTACAGTTACAGTTATGTACTTATACGTTATCACTCCCTTAGTATTCGGACTCACATAGATTTTTGCCATACCTAAGCAGTCAAATATACCTGCATATTTCACTCCTTTTAATAGGGCTATATTGACTGCTTATAATTATTTGCTTAGGGGTTGCGCAGTTGAACGGTGCCCAGTGCAGCATTAGGGAGGTTCCGGAGTACGATTTTTCGTGCCAAAATCCGTGGAGGCTCTACGGATTTTTTATACGTCGTTTTCGAGCAGTGAAAAGTTCCGGGGTACGGAACTTATGTGTTTGCCGTCATTGCCTAGTTAACGATCGCAAACACGTCACATTCCCGCGCTATGCCTTTTTTATTTTGAAAATTGTACCGAAATCAAAACTTCCCGCGAAAAATCGATGTTTCTCGTACCAAATTTGTACGCGAAAAATCTTTCTGCACCCGATGACGCAAAATCTCCATACGAAGCATGGTTCGTATGAAAGCCAGTCCACACGGATTCTCGTGCCGAAAAATCGTATGGAGCACGCCTGGAAAAAATCCGTAGCGCCCATACGGATTTTGGCACGGAAAATCGTACCCCGGAACCTCTCTATTGTCACCGCATGAGTAGGTGGTGGTGCAACGGTTGTGCAATCATAAAACCGGGATTCATGAGGTTATCGTTTTGGAATTTGAAATACGGACTGTTTGTCGTGATAAATCTAATATTGACTTCGTACTTGGTCAGTATAGGAAATAAAAACCTCGTAAAAGACCTCGGCTTCGCCTCGGTCTTTTACTCGGCTTGTATACTAGTGATTATCACTCCCTTAGTATTGACTCACATAGATTTTTGCCATACCTAAGCAGTCAAATATTCCTGCATATTTCACTCCTTAGGGCTATATTGACTGCTTATATTTGACTGCTTAGGGGTCGCGCAGTTGAACGGTGCCTAGTGCAGCATTGTCACTGCATGAGTAGGTGGTGGTGCAACGGTTGCGCAATCATAAAACCGGGATTCACGAGGTTATCGTTTTGGAATTTGAAATACGGACTGTTTGTCGTGATAAATCTAATATTGACTTCGTACTTGATCAGTATAGGAAATAAAAACCTCGTAAAAGACCTCGGCTTCGCCTCGGTCTTTTACTCGGCTTTTATTTCCTATATTGACCTCGTACTCAGTCAATATTAGATACATATTCGCCCATATTCACTCGGCTTCAGGTAATATTATATACTTATCATAGCCAAAGAGTACAATGCAGAATCTACTCTCTGGTGTCATAAATTCATAAGCCAGAGTGTGGAGCTTCGCATCGCTTTGGGAAAACGCTGTTTGCATCGCTTCCGCTATACATGTACTAGTCATGGAGGCGACCCCTGTACACCATTGTACACGGTTGTATGCCCTTCAACACGAAACGTGCAAACGAGTGATATAGCTATTACACAAAGACCAAGGGATGGTGACTTTACAACACAGTTCAGTTCCTCAGGTGATCGGCTTTCACAGGCGGCGCAATGACAACGCATCGCCGTAGCTTGCCAATGACGTCAATCTCGAGCTCGAGGCCCTCTTCGGCAAGGAATGGTGGGACGAATGCAAACGCAAGGCCATGACCAACTTGGTATCCGTAACAGCCGGAGGAAACATGACCGACGACCTATACAAAAGCACCAACACATTCAAGTCCAGAATGCAGTTCAGTACCAGAAATCACAGGAAACAAATAAATTCTGTGTATCGCGATGGCTGAGGCTTCCTTGTGAGCTGCATGCTTCGGACAGAATTGGTCGTGTGAAGCCGGTGCCAATAGGGATTGGTGGTGTGAAGCCGGTGCCAATAGGACCTCTTCACACTATTACAGGCACAACTCAGCCTATTAAAAGTCACACCTTTATAGAAGTTTCTAAGACAACTATTGGTGCAAGGATCTGGCGGGAAGCCCAAAAAGCTGCCCAAGCCTTTCAGACAGTGTGCTGACTCTTGTGCAAGACAACTATCCTGCATGTATCGTACTTTTCACCAGGCAGTCGTACAAACTGTGTATGGCTTCCTGCTTTCACACATTCACTTGCGTAATACTGCGGCACGTTGCCCGTATGTTGCATGTGAAACGTCCTTGCAGTAGTCTGAATGCAGGCTTCGGACAGGTCTGATGGACTTCTGCACTGAACTAGCGCTGCACGTGGTGCGAAGACTCGTGTGACGCCGAAACGGAAACACTAAGCACAGTAGCTGCCTTGAAGTCAGCCAGGGAAGTGCTGGCGTGCGCATGGTGTCATGCATCACCTGGCAAGCTGCAGCTAGCTATTCTCCGTATTTCCAGAAGCAATAGCCTGATCTACTTTTTCTTCAATCAACCCCTACATGTAACGTGTTGTGCTCGCTGAAATCCGACCCAAAGTGCACATTAGGCGCCCTCAACTTGCACGGCCCTGGATGCCCTGGAAGTGGTACGAATGCTGCTGGACGTACACATGTACACGGACAGTGATGTAATCCTGTCCCCACAGGATACCGCGATTCTGCGGACGCGCAATTTTCCACGCTATTGGCTTTCATCCACGTTTTCGAAAAAAAAAATGTTTGCATAAAACCCGCGTTATCCATGGGAATGCCCAAGAACATAGTACATTATGTTGAAAATGTACTACAAAGCCGAACCCGCGCATGGCTTTGTACGACAATGTTATACTTGCATGAAACTGTACGCTAAAGTTGTACCAATGACAGATAACGTGTGCATAGTGACCGCATTATACCGCATAATCCTGCATATTTGCCGCATAACGGCCTGTTTTCTCCCGCAGCGTTTAATATGCGCATAATTTTAGGATTTTGTCCGCGTTAAGCGGGATTCACAGAAGCTTTTTTGCGATGCGACACGCGATGCGACAGACGCGAAACCGGGAAAACCCCAAATCGCAGCCATGTCGCACCCCACGCAACTGCCGCAACTGGGCCATCGCAGAAGTTGAGCTTGGCTCAACTTTTGCGATGCGATGCGATGCGACAAGCGATTTGGTGTAAGATTTTGACCTTTTCTACAGCAAAGTTGTACAAAGGTGCAAGAGTTGCCTATAAATTTTTACAAGTTGTGTCAAACCGCGCGAATATCATGGTGACGTACCCAAATCAGCAAAACTTTGTCGCATCGCTGACTTCTTCTGTGAATGGTATTTCGCGAGTTCGCATCGCACGCATCCATCGCAGATCGCGTCGCATCGCGTGTCGCATCGCAAAAAAGCTTCTGTGAATCCCGCTTTATTCTGTGGGGACAGGTAATCGGAACTAGACCGCGAGGGCGTCAGTTTTGCACTTTGGGCCGGATTTCAGTGATTTCAGTGAGCGCAACAACTGTACATGTATGCCTACCTTGGTCCTGCATTCAAGAAATCTCATCAACGTAGGCAAAGTTGGCCATTGTTTCAATGCAATCTTTTCATGCTCTCAAAAAATCAAAGAGTCCTTCATAAAAAAGCAAAATATAGACACATATAGAGGACGGGCAGGTTTCTGTTCCGTAACTTCGGGTTCCACGATGGAGAGATCGTCAGAAATCCGATCAGATCTGATCATCACTCTATCGTCAAACTCACAGTTACAAATAGAACTGCAGTTCTCTGGTGCATGGCTATGCTCCGTGTATTTCTACACATTGAGCACTGTAAGGCTGGTGGACTGCACCGTCGTGGTACGGTCTACTCTCGATTAGTGAAACACCCAATCTTGGAGACAAAAATGCGTGACTTACATGTATCACCGAAACGAGTGCGTGACTTACATAAATATACTGTATACACATACAAAAGTACACGTCGCCCAGATTACAAAAGTGCTCGTGCATGACTTAAAAACGTGTGTGACTTATCGCTAGTAGCCTAGAATAAGAAAGATACAGAGAGAGAGAGAGAGAGAGAGAGAGAGAGAGAGAGAGAGAGAGAGAGAGAGAGAGAGAGAGAGAGAGAGAGAGAGAGAGAGAGAGAGAGAGAGAGAGAGAGAGAGAGAGACAGAGAGAGAGAGAGAGAGACAGAGAGAGAGAGAGAGACAGAGAGAGAGAGAGAGAGAGACAGAGAGAGAGAGAGAGAGAGTACTGTGCCAATGTTAGCTATCACTGTCACCTACCTTGCCGTCGCAATACACTGCCTCCATGCCGTCCGGGTCTGTTTTCCCGTCATCTTCCAGCACCTTCAGCATCACCAGCTTCTCTTTGCTGCCTGCGCGAAGTTCGTGCTCCAGTGCTGCCATGCCAATGCACGCTTGCACGTCCGGCTAAAGCAAGTGTAGACCAGATACGGATCATGTATACTAATAATGTTATTGGTAACGGTGGACAGGCTAACAAGTAACAGCACACTGGGCCATGAATCGCATACAAACTGTACTGTGAACGCCAGGTGTAGCCATACCATGCTGGCTGTGCCGAGCACTGGTCTGCCTACACGGGTTCAGAAAATGGGTACTGCATGAATGCAGTTAAAAAAAATCCTAGTACATGTACCTACAACCAGTAGTATAGCTGTGACCATTTCATTAATGATTCATTGGTAATTCCTGCCCCGCAGTGCTTCTATGGATGTGGACTCCACAGTAGCATAAGCACTTGCTACACTACATGTATAGAGGTTACGCGATTATAATCATTGGTTGAGAATGTGATGACATCATCAGTTGAGAATGTGATTACATCATCAGTTGAGAATGTGATCACATCATCAGTTGAGATGCTTTGGCAAAGCCGCAGCACAGTGATGCACTGGCTCAACTTGCGGCGAAACCATGGAAACCGCCAACTCACCAACATGAAATCATTCGCATAACCTCGAAGTTATGCGAACGGTTCAGTTCAAGGAGTGAGGCAGCAGCTTTTCCTAATGGGCACTAAGTGATAAGTACACAGCGTGAGTCAGTGGATTTTCTCATGGGCGTTATCAAGAGTACATAACCCCAAGAGTGTGCAACTGCCTGCACAACCTCTATGCAGTGCTGTGAAGGCAGAACTTCACATCACGTGACATGGTTCAAAAGGTTACACTGGCAAACAGTGCAACGTGATCACAAGAGAGTTGTACCCAAAGCTGGGTTTCGTACAACCCTGTATCAATCATGCACGGAGTGCAAATAATGTGTACGGGTTCATCACGTGATGTGAAGTTCTGCCACCGCAGACCCCATAGCTGGAGTTGCACACTCTTTGGGGTTATGTACTCTTGGTGTTATGTATGCAGCATGAGTCCCTAGAACAGAGTAAGACTGGGTGCAGGGCTGTGCCGCGACTTCGCCACCAAAGCATCTCAACTGATGGTGTATTCGCATGACCTCTCTAGTAGCTGTGGATTCAGCGCGGAAGTGAAGTCCGGCACCTGCACGCTTCCCACAGTTCACTACAGGAATCATGGCGGACGACGTGCTAGATCTCTGTGCATCGCTTCTTTGAACCATGCATACAGTGCATGCCAAGCCATTGCCGGCGATGCTGAAAGACGTGCACTGTATAAGACACAGATAGTCACTGTGCGGCACAGGTTGCAAGCATCATTGATGTAAAAAAAAAGTCGGAGATCATATAAAGATGCATTAAATGATACGATGCAAGGTGAACGCATGTAGTTACGTATTCGGGTGTACACCGCATCAAAGCTGTACATTTTTGGGCTGAAATACATGTACCGTATATTCTCTATTATAAGCGCCGTGCTTCTATTTTTTCAACACCCCTCTACCCCGTGCTTATATTGGAGACCGCGCTTATATTGGAGACCGTGCTTATATTTTTTCAACCTATACATCTATACAGAGCAAGAAGACATACATGCTAGATATCATGCATGCAGCATTGATTTCCACCAGCACCGTGCTAATAATAGAGACTGTGCTTATAATGTTTCGAAAGGTGCTCACAGTGTGCTAGTATTAGAGACTGTGCTTATAATAGAGAATATACGGTATCATGCATTCTTTTGTGCGGAAACGCAAGGGTCAGATGTCACTTGCAATCTATCCACCATTGTACAGTGCTGTTCAATGAAATCCAGTCTTGAAATCCAGTCTTGTCACTCAAGTACGCAATGAAATCCAGTCTTGAAATCCAGTCTTGTCACTCAAGTACGCAATGAAATCCAGTCTTGTCACTCAAGTACGCAATGAAATCCAGTCTTGTCACTCAAGTACGCAATGAAATCCAGTCTTGTCACTCAAGTACGCAATGAAATCCAGTCTTGTCACTCAAGTACGCAATGAAATCCAGTCTTGTCACTCAAGTACGCAATGAAATCCAGTCTTGTCACTCAAGTACGCAATGAAATCCAGTCTTGTCACTCAAGTACGCAATGAAATCCAGTCTTGTCACTCAAGTACGCAATGAAATCCAGTCTTGTCACTCAAGTACGCAGTGAAATCCAGTCTTGTCACTCAAGAACGCGCCGGACGTTGCAGAGCCCTAGACCTGCGAACACAGAGCTGCGAAATGATGCAAGGCGCACACTTGACTCACGCAACCGGATTTCATTGAGCAGCGCTGTAGTTTCCTGTGCAAATGTCTGGAGCTGAAGCGATCCTTACCTCTACGTTGCCTCTCACAAATGACATCATGTCGGATTCCACCATAGTGTTGTCCTTGCTCATCTGTCGTCGAAAGAAGATGAAAAACCAGCACAGCCACACAACGCACTCAATCGAAGTACTGTCCAGCACAGGGCACAGGAATAGATAAGTTACCATGCCAGCTGCATACTGTGGGTATAATGGTACTCCATGCACATGCCGAATAGTTGAGTTACATGTACCATGCCAGCTGCATACTATGGGTATAATGGTACCCCATGCACACACCACTGTGGACAAGCAACGACTGAAGCAGGCCACACTGCTTCCCCATACCTGTGCTTGGTTTGGACCTAAACATGATCGTTCCGACACAGGCCCGGTTGGCACACCGCCACACTTGCCTACTTATGGGAGGCTATAAGAAAAGTATTATCATGTGAGCATCTAACTGTCCACTACCAAACCGTATCTCATAAATCACATCTGAATACAGGTTGCACCACCGGCATGTTTAGGCGGCCTCTGTCATAATATTAGTTTCAGTGTGTGCATTGCGTAAGAAGTCTTACTCGACTGGAAGTCCGTCCCCTTCACGCCCTTCTTTGTCTTAGGGATTATTGTAAGAACGTGTGACCTATATTCGGGGAGTTACGGTAGACGCACACGTGCCTACCTCAGCTCCCCACGCTCGGAATCCTTTCTCCATGCGCAGTGAGTTCATAGCGTACGTGCCAAAGTCATCCACGCCGAGATCTGCGCCTAGCCGATGCACCGTGGCGTGCAGATCAACAACGGATGCCTGCGGACAGTGAACCTCCCAGCCGAGCTCACCTTCAGGAGGACACCACAGCACCACAATCCAAGAACGTGTATCAGTATAGAGTAGTACAGTCATCATATAATTATGCGATAATGCCATACTAGAAGTTTAAGGTGTTTTTACTACAGTCCCTTTCAAAACTATAGACGCGTAGGGTTTTTGAAATATTTCAAATTTGGCTGAAATTTTTGAGAATAGTTTTCGGAATATTGCTCGGGTCCGCTCCACAATTACTCTCATATAGTTTCTAAACGATTGGATAACAGACGCCCAATTTGGAAAAAATTATGCACAAAGTGATCACAGATTTTATGTGGTATAGATGCTGGCATAATGGTTTTTGCCTAGGTACGCGTCTATAGTTTTCAAATGGACTGTAGGTGGCATCCAAGCGGCCACTGGCTAAAGGTCCAACTCAATACAAAGCATGTGAGTACAATGTACATTGTGCAATGGTCATATAAAATGCTGTCTGATGTTCGCTCCAATGAGTGAAACTTCAAGTTGCAGCCAACCAGGCCTTGCTCCTCCAGTGTGTGCGTATATTGCTCTGCACATTTTGCGTATTGAACGCTAGTCTATTCGAGCTGCCTTGACCAGCCATGATCATGCCGACTACAGTATAGATCCGCTTCATCTAAGGCTTTCGGGTATATCTGGTCTTTCATCCACACCAGGCAAACAGTTCTCTGACCAAAGGTGGCTGGATAGGCTGTGGTTCCACTGTTTCTCCTTGTGTACTTAAAGCATACAGTACTGTCCGGTGCAGAAGAGCTGGGGGAGGGGGGGGGGGGGGGGGGCAGAGTCGCAGCCTAGACCGATCTTATTTTATGTGCTACAGTGTATGCACACGGTTGAGACACTGGGTGTACATCAGCATGCTGTGCTTGGTGAAATCCCATCATGTGGGCCGTTCTTCGGCGCCCGGCAGTACTGTAATAATATGACTCACTGCGTAACCCACTGACCTGTGTAGGAGATCCTGATCACGTCCATCTCCACGCCGCTGTTATTGGTGAGTTTGCGGTGTGACATCAGCTTCCACGTGTCACGCGAGAACTCCGTCCCCGGGAACAGGCGCTCCATCAGCCGCGGTGACTTGGGGCCAGCAATGCCTAGGCAAGACAACTCATCAGTGGTGTTCCGAATGGCAACGTTGCAGTGTTTGGGCATATTTAACCCTTCCAGCCACCTGACAGCAGCAGACATGCACATGCAAATGTACACACCCGACACAGTGGATGCGACGTACACGTAGAGCAAGGGAAAACAAACCAGACTTCACCACGGAAGATTTTCAAAGTGCAGTTAATACATTGTACTCGGCAGGCGTGTGCGACTCAGCTACTATAGACTACTGCATCAGGGGCGTCGGAGCCGGTGCGGCAGGTGTAGCCAAACCCACACCAATAATTCTATCTCGGATACTGAGCCAGTAAATGTCCTTTCCTCCTTCTCTCATACCAGCCACCTTCACTTCCTTTCCCCAGGAGACTCCCTTTGATAGGCATCCATTTGCCTCCGAGGCTGGAGAATCCTTGAAAAACATATAATAGCAATCAATAATATCAATATAAATAGAATTAAAATTAGGGATGAAACGATCATCCATTTCTTCTTATCGAGTACCGTTTATTATTAACGATCGAGTTATCATAAAACGAGTATGCTGAATTTGTATGACAAATATATTTTACTGGTCTCCGGGGAATATGTGCATGACACACCGGATCCCAAAAGTGCGAAGGTGCCTAGAAAAAGGTGTGAATTTTGTCACCTTGGATGACGCGTGCTGGAGTTGACTATGCAGACAGTGCGACTTAGCTAGTACTATGCACATGTACACTGCACATGTACAAGTCGTGCATACTCGATAACAGCATAACGAGTAGCGATCACAGAGATAACGAGTAAGTTCCGAGTAATCGGTATAATCGTTTCATCCCTAATTAAAATAGAAGAAATCACTTTTTGAAGAAATAAAATATGGGCTATTTGGGCGCAATAAAGTTGTGAACGGTACCAGTCGGCTGTTCAATAATTCAATAATCTCTCCTTCTCTTCTCCTCCATACGCTCTCAGCCGATTACCCTTAGTATTCGGGGCCAATTACAATTCTCAGCGGGGGAGGGTCTCCCGACCGACCGCCTCTTCATGGCAGCACTGACCAATGTGGAATGCGTTCCGATGCCGCTGTATATCGTGGGGAGGGAGGAGAGGGGGTTGCAACAAGAGCCTTCATACAAGTTTCTATCAAAATAGCTACCCTCTCCTTCCCGTCCGTTAACGACAAAATCAATCAATAAGAAAGTACAAGTAGACTTATATCCAAAGAGAGCTTTAAATCCAGAGTCAAACATCTGCCGCAGATTTTCAAAAGGTGCCGTATGATTCTAGCTTCAGCTGCAGCTTCAACCTCAGAAGATGTGATATAAGGCTTGTCTCCTAACACCAGCGACTGAGCGTTTCTCACCTGAGATCGTGCAGCTCTGAGCCTCCTCCCGTAGTCAGCATGTACTCCCCACCACTGCCGTCCTTGGCCGTAGGCACAGTGCACGTGACAGTCATCTCGGACATGACGCGGCCGTTATGTGTGAGCATGTGCGCCAGGCACGAACGGCCTTGGGTCTAGGCACAGGGCACATGCAGCACAGAGCCAGAGTAACTGTATCCGATCTTTAGCGGCTCCACAGCTGAAAGGGGGGGGGGGGGGGGAGGTATGAAATGGGTATTATCATAGTTGATGAGAGAAGTATGGATATCATACTTCTCTCATCAACTATGATAATACCCATTTCATACCCCCCCCCCTTCATAAAATTAATACCTACTGTTTTCTTTCCTTTCATTTCATCTTCTTTTCCGTTCCTTTCTTCTTCATACACATTTTAAACATTTTCATCATATTGTGAGAGCCGTGGGCCAATAGCCCCGGTGAGAAGGCAGTCTTGCCTGTTCATATGGTGAAGTAAAATAAAGAAACAACAACAACAACAACAACAACAACAACAGCTGCTCAACCATTTCTCCTAGAACAGGTGGGTAGAATGGTGGGCACTAGACTGCATGTTACAGAGCTGCATCCCTACAGTCACACGGGTCATGCATGCTGTTGTGACCTGCATGGCTCACCGGGCATGCCGCGATCTCACACTCACAAAGGCTGAACCGGCCTCGGCATGTCCGGTGTGCCGCACAGTGGATTCATGCTCCAGAAGATGACTGCAGTAAGTGCCGTGAAGCACGGGCCTAGTGCATCGCAGCCCTATGCATTGGTGCCAACTTGACATTTAAAGGGGCTACTAGTACTGTAGTAGGGAACAAAGAATCGTATAGAGTACGGCGAGGACTCGTTCATGAGCTAGTATGATGGTTAGTGATCGTGTTCGACAAGAGATCGTTACGTGCATTTGTGTATGCCTGGTATACGCACGGTTATTACATGACTGGAAAAAAAGCGCAAGTGCAAACCGCAGACACTCAGTATCCATACTGTGAAGAGTACGGTACTGTACAACACTACGAGTGCAAGTTAGTTAGTAAGTTGCGCCGAGTCAACCAGTACAGTACCTGCAGAGACTTCCATGCAGCACTATGATAACAGTAGCTTTTGATTTTCTTTGTCCTGCAATTATTTCCCAGTTATTTGCAGTCTCAAATGTCCCCTCGGGCCTGTACATAACTGTGCTCTTGTTCATATTTATAGCTGCAGTTAGGCCAATGTTCCCAAAACGGAACATATGTTTCCCTTAAAGAGTACTCGATAGCTCATTCATTAGCACAACTACCCGTTCGTTAGTTAAAGAGTAATCGCTTGTCCCTACGGAATAGTCTGTCGGATCTACTCTCACCGGTCATGAATGTCTATCGTTTCGGACATCACGTGATGACAGTAATATTCGAGTTCCCGCCTACCCACCTTTGGAATTCTGTTGGCAAAGGCCAGATTCAGGAAGCGGTACGAGTCCTGGCCGGACACCGTGAACGTGGCAAACGACGAGAGGTCAATCACACCGACGTTCTCCCGCACCAGACGGCTCTCCCTGCCGACCGGCTCAAACCAGTTGGTGCGGTGGAAGCTGGGTTGGTAGCCGGGCGTGTCACCAGGTCGCTCAAACCATAGAGGAACCTGGCCCCACAAAGGTGGAAGAGAGGCACACAGAGGTAGAACAACAGCAACGTTACACAGCTGCACATTTGGACCATTGAATGGGGAGGAGAGGGAGGGGGGGGGGTATACTTTCTGGCATTTTTCTCTGAAAATTGCCACCCGCAGCCGAAGTCCTTGTACAATCCTATTGAGTACAGCGTACTATTAAAACTACTTGAAGCAGATTTAAAATACTACGGTGGAATATGTGCCATTCCTCTCTTTTTTTGTGTGGGGGGGGGGGGGGCTGACCCCCCCCTCCCTATGTGCCATTCCTCTCTTTTTTTGTGTGGGGGGGGGGGGGGCTGACCCCCCCCCTCCCTCCCTATGTGCCATTCCTCTCTTTTTTTGTGTGGGGGGGGGGGGGGGGCTGCCCCCCCCCTCCCTCCCTGTGATTTTTATGTAAGGCATAGCTGACTGCGTAGTAGTGGCTTCCATTTATTCGACAATCATTATGAGAAGGTTGTGGACAACTGGTATACATAAGTATACTAGTACATACAACTACGCTCTATATGGGAAAATAACAGCATCTTTTTAAAAGTTTACCCATATTGGGCTCGGCCTCCCAGGGCTAAAACACATTTTGGCCGCATTAAAATCTCAGCCTGTGTGCCAGGCTGCTGCCTGTATACACTGTCACACTGAACCTTGCAAAACAAAATTTCAACCGCAACAAATTTTCGGCCTAAATTAGCCGACAATAAATGTGGTATTACGGTAGTGGATAGTTGCTTCATAACCCGTTCCCATGTGGTTTCTTCATAACCCGTTCCCATGTGATTTCTTCATAACCCGTTCCCATGTGATTTCTTCATAACCCGTTCCCATGTGGTTTCTTCATAACCCGTTCCCATGTGGTTTCTTCATAACCCGTTCCCATGTGATTTCTTCTTCCTTTCTCTTTACAAAATAAATGTGCGCCGGATATTAATTTTGTTGATTCAGTTACAGTATGGCGGAGATGTTCGAGGTTGAGTAGCTCAAATGCAAACGAAACCTGTGACTATCCCAATAGCAATAGAGCAGCACTACAGTAAAGTGTGTAACTAAAGACCACCGACCGTGACTACAGCATAGCGACCAGCCTGGTACTACAGACCACTTCGCCGGGCGCGGACGGTCTCACACTCATATACGGTTGTGCAGTGCAAACCTCTAACTAAGGACCACCAGCCACTAAAGACCGCTTTCTCTGGCCCCAAGGGGTGGTCGTTAGTCACATGTTTTTCTGTATATGCAGCAATGACCCTGGACACAGTGTAACTGTCACAATAGGCAGAGCATTCCAGCGTTGCAGCCGGCAACGCAACGACATCACCACTGTACCTCAAATCCTGCCTTGAAGCCGAATCGAGCACCACGTTTCTGCAGCGATGCGTAAAGAGGACCCGCACGTTTCGTCGGCCTGCCGCCAAAGCGTTCCTCCTTAACATAGGCATACGAGTTGTTCATCCCATACGTCTCTTTCGTCTTGTTCATGATGTATGTGGGATCGTCGCTCCAGTTGCCGTAGCGAGCCGGATCAGTTTCTGTCAGGTCATATGGCGGATAGCCATTCCTGATCCAATCGGCAAGATACCTGCCCAGGCCTCCGCCGTGGATAATGCCGTAGCTGAAGCCAACAGCCAGCCACATACCCGGCTGACCAGGCTTGGGTCCAACCATCGGCATGCCTGTGCAATACCATAGGTATTTCAAACACATGCAAATGCACACACACACACACACACACACACACACACACACGCACACACGCACATACATTCAATTATTATTATTATTACCGTAAAGTACCGCCAGAGCGCCCCACCATCTCGTCACGGACCTTGTACAAACATTGCGCATTGTGCAGTCAATCCGTACCCAGTTTACCTTCGAGCTCCACATAAAAGCATACCAAGTGTGACCTTAGTACACGAAGGTTCTCACATCGTACAAACTTAGTAGCATTCTGCCATACGATTTTCTTCCCTTGGCTGTAAAATCAAGGTGGGGCGCTCTCGCGAGTCTTTACGGTATTATTATTTTAACTCGGATACTGAGCCAGTAATAAAATGTAAAAAAGAGAAGAAACATGGGGATAGTTGCTGCATAACTCGTTCTCATGTGTTTCTTCTCTTTTTTACATATTATTATTATTATTATTATCAGCCTTTTCGCGTTGACTTCACCAAGCAAGTTTGGGTAGTTTTCGCTTAGGCCTAATGGAATGAAGAATGAGGAGCGAGATCATGTCAAGGGAGGCAGAAATCATACTGCACGAGGCTCTCCGCAGAAATCATACTGCACGAGGCTCTCCTCACTAAGATACTTCTACCTATACAGTTATATAACGTTACATGTAATTCTTTTAAAATAAAGTGATCACACCGCAGGGCAAACTGTCCGTGGAAGTGCAGCATTGGTGAAGCCACAGTACCAATCTATACGTACTAACCATCTCTAATGATAAGCCATGCACACCACACTTACCGTCAGGAGCAAACGTAATGGGCCCTGCCACTGTACGAATGATGGGAGCCTTGCCGAACGCCGGGAATCGGTTCACAGCCATCTCCAAATTAGGCCCGATCCTGTCCAGGTCGTTCTCGAACAGTTCCTGGCCAAATCCGGGTGTGACACGGTCCAGCAGCCAGCTCTCCTCTAGTTTCATGCGCTCAGGGCGTTCATACGGACCCACGAGCAGCCCGTCGCGCTCCTAATACAGGATGCCGGGTAACCACACAACAGTAAAACCGTCATTGAAGTATGCATTATTGAATGGCTGAATGATATCGTTCGCAATTCTATAATAATTATAGTCATTGCCAAAAACATCCAGCCAATCCCGGTACACAGGGACACAGTGGTATGGTATGCGTTCACGGCAGTGCTTCATGGTGGCACAGATACAGTGGCATGCATGCATTACTGTGCCAGTTCTGCACTGACTCAGTGAGTGTATGCAGGGACATGGTCAATGCATGCACTACTGTGCCAGCTCTGCACTGACTCAGTGAGTGTATGCAGGGACATGGTCAATGCATGCATTACTGTGCCAGCTCTGCACTGACTCAGTGAGTGTATGCAGGGACATGGTCAATGCATGCACTACTGTGCCAGCTCTGCACTGACTCAGTGAGTGTATGCAGGGACATGGTCAATGCATGCACTACTGTGCCAGTTCTGCACTGACTCAGTGAGTGTATGCAGGGACATGGTCAATGCATGCACTACTGTGCCAGTTCTGCACTGACTCAGTGAGTGTATGCAGGGACATGGTCAATGCATGCACTACTGTGCCAGTTCTGCACTGACTCAGTGAGTGTATGCAGGGACATGGTCAATGCATGCAGGGCCGTAGCAGGCGGTCCGGCAGGTCCGGCAGCTGCCGGACCTGCCGGACTACCAAAAAGAAAAAGAAAGAAAAAAGCGGGAGCTCACACATGTGCGCAGCTCCGGATGTACATACATGTATGTCCACCCATGACTGTGTATAATAAGTAGAGGTTACGAGGTAGTACAGAGCGGCATGTCTTGTACCATGGCAGGAGGAGGAATGGCAGGAGGTCATACAGTACACACGGTACAGGACAACGCTCACGTACCAAAGATATTCCATTGCAATGCTCTTTCTTCTCTTCCAAAGGTCTATTTTGGTTCTTTTATCACATGCATTTAGATACTGTTGCTATGCCTTCATAGGCTTCAACAAGTAAAGTTCTGTTTGGACAGACACAACATGCTAATGCCCTTTTCCCTGACTCATGCAGAACATCCTTCTTCCTTTTCTCGCCCTATGTCACTCTGCATGGTCACGATTACATACGTCATGTATATGTTGTACATGTACCGGCATACTAGTATGTATGAGTGTGGGCTCGGGGGGGGGGGGGGGGGGGGGGGAGCATCGAGGTCGGATCTTGCCGGATCAACCAAAATGGGGCTGCTACGGGCCTGGCATGTGCAGTGCACTACATCACAGTAGTGCCTGTAGTGCATGCGGCCCTGCATGTACAGCCAGCATGGCCCTAGCAGGATGTGTTTGGGCGACGACTGTAGATCACTGAAAGGAGCCGGTAGTTTTTAGTGTTGTGTTGTTATCCTGTGACACAGAGCATCACACAGCGTGGGCCGAAGTTAGTTCAACCTGTTGACTTTCAATGATTAAGCCATTGGTCCAAACTGCAGCCACACAACGTCTATATCTACATCTGCATCATCAGCACACGCTACGGAAGTCCGAACGGTCCGGCGATTGCAACTCCGAGTTTCACGCTGGACAATCATCAGGCAGCACTTGCTGTGTTAACAAGCTGTGGCTGCAGCTGGGCATTGAGCATAGTTTGAGCATTGTTTGAGCAGTGGAAATTGCCCACTGTATCTACTAGTACATCTCTTCATGTAAATACACTTGATGGCTAAACAGAGGATCAGCTAATCACCGATACAAATCTAAACCATACATGACGTGAAGCTGTGTAGCCATGGCCAGTACTGTCCGGAGTGGGGGGGGGGGTTAGCTGCACTTTAAACGCATCATTGAAAAACCTCAAAAGTGTCACTGTGGCTTAGACTCCTAATGTTGAATGTGACATGACCAGCGCTACACTGAGCCTTCCATGTTTATAATGCATGCCATGATATATGGTGACATGCGATTACTTTTCATGTACTGCAATCCATTATCGCACTAGCACAAAGCTGCTATTATGTTGTCAGATCAGAGTGAAGGACAAACTAGGAAACTTTTGCTAGAACTTCAGTCGTGCTTCCCAACTTTTCACCATTGGTAAGGTCTTGTACGTACCAGTACCCATTTTAAAAGTCAGGATGGCCAAGAATTAGAAGTCAGATATGCGGTTTATATTCCGAATGTCAACAAAAGGAGGATGTCCGGCCCGAAGCCTGGGGAGTGCAGCTTTAACCCGGTGCCGGTAACTCTCTGGAAAGTATGTTTTTGTACTGTGTAGCGATATACAATCCTGTACTGTGTAGCGATATCATACTTGCCAACCCCTGGCAAACAGTTTCCTTGACAGTGATGACGCTTTCCTTGATTTTGCCCATTTTTCCTTGATTTGCAATTTCTACATCATAATTGTGCAAAATGTTGTATATGACATCATAGTGACGTCACCATGACCACAAAACAAATAGTACAGCATGTACGACAAAAAAGTACTTTTTCATGCGCTAACTCAAACGTTCTCGCTCGCTAGACCTTCGTTTTAGCCCAGCACTGCGTGAGCGAGCGTCCAAAACACTGAAAATCAACAAAAAAGGTGTTGACGGACATTTTCGAAAATCTGGTAGATGTTATAACTTTTCCGGTATACCGGGAGGAAAGAAAGTTTTCCTTGATTTTCCCGGAAATTCCGGTAGGGTTGGCAAGTATGCGATATACAATCCTGTACTGTGTAGCGATATACACGTAGTGCACTGCGTAACGTGGGCTGTGTGTGCACAATGCAGCAATGCCAAGTTGGCCGCGGCATGCTATGCACTGGGCGTCGGTTTTTTAGTTCTTAGTCACAGTGTGAGAGATCCCATGATGTGAAATAGCACATTTCTGGCCACTCTTCGTATGGCACACGGTGGCACTATACATTACACTTCGGGGATATCATCTAGTAGCATCGGATTTTGATTGGAACTTCACACTGCAGTTTGGATAAGAAGAACTAGTGCTATTGCAACCAATCTATACTTGTCTTGTCATTAAGTGTTCATGCAGATTAAGATTTGACTGTACAAAAACTGCTTCAGGCAACAATCAGGATCATAGTAGTTCTTTGCTAGATAGTAGATAGGCTGCGAAGCGTAGAAATCACTCACCATACGTATGTAATAGGAGCCGTGCAGATCTCGCACCACTGGCATTTCCTTCTTCAGCGCCTGCACCTCCGCGAGCGTGTCCGTGATGCAGTACTGGTGATGGCCTGGTATCAGTGGCAGCTTGGCACCCGTGCCCTTGCGTCCATGCTGGAGCAAGGCGTCGAGCTCTCGGCCCCAGAATCCGGCGGCGTTGACGACGTGGCGGCACTGGATGGAGCCATTCGGTGTTGTGACCTTCCACCTGAAACCTTCACTGCCAGCCATGCTCTCCATGTCAGTCACCTAACACACACACACACACACACACACACACACACACACACACACACACACACACACACACACACACACACACACCATCACAGTAATACATAGCCACGCACTCCAGTAGAGGCTGGTGCTGTTCATTGAAATGGACTCGGACAAATGCCAAGCAGTACACTCGGCCGACTCTGTGCTTCACAGAACGTCTGACTACACCATCATGTTCTAGGACAGAGGCATTGCACGATTTTCACTGCCAAGAACTAATATTCGGATCAAAACCGCAATATACAATAAATTGTCAACAACGATGACAACGTCGATGATGACGACGACAATAACGGCAACAGCGACAGCAACAGCAACAGAAACAACAACAACACCACCACCTACGCCGCCGCCACCACCACCACCACAACCACCACCACCACCACCACCGCCGCCACCACCACCAACACCACCACCACCAACAACAACAACAACAACAACAACAACAACAACAACAACAACAACAACAACAACAACAACAACAACAACAACAACAACAACAACAACAACAACAACAACAACAACAACAACAACAACAACAACAACAACAACAACAACAACAACAACAACAGCAGCAGCAGCAGCAGCAACAGCAGCAGCAGCAGCAGCAGCAGCAGCAGCGGCGGCAACAGCAGGAGCTCCAACAGAACAATCCAAGCTACAAGCATTCAAGTGCTCTGGAGACCTGCCACCATTCATTATTGTGAATCAGAGAGCCTTGTGACTTGTATCATAGAGAAACACAACAATTCATCACAGTGGCTGGGCGAGCCCAGGTTTTCCAAACTTCATTTAGACCTGCCAAAATGAAGGGAGAAAATCTCCATGTAACGTGAACGGGGTACACTTCGGTGGTACCTTTAGAGTCTAGACCTATCCAGAGCTCGTCATAGTCCATGCAAAACAAAGATGTTTAAAAATATTAAATTAACAACGCTTCTCTCAGAATTTTACGATGATACTCCCAGAATTCTATTAATTACTGCATAGTCATTGTCGGTGCTGTCAGTATCAATGATGCGACTTCCAGAATTAACATTACTCACAGAATTTAACGACTCTACTCTCAAAATTAATGATGCTACTTTCAGAATCAAAAACGCTACTCCCATAAATAAGCAATACTACTTTAAGACCATACCAGCCATTCATACCTCTGTGTGTGTGAAGATCTTTGCACCGTGTTGCTTGGCACCAGCACCCAACGCCATGGTCACAGAGTAAGGATCAATGTAGCCATCGTGTGGATTGAAAAAGCCACCGATAATGCCGTCGGGATTGATCAGCGGGCACTTCTCCACCACCTCGGCCGCGTCCAGGATCCTTGCAGGCGCTGGATACCAACTCGCCCTGCTCAGGTGCTGTCGGAACTCGTCCATGCGCGTGCCTGTTTCCGCAAGTCGCAACGAACCACAGCGATGCATGCCGACAGCCTAAACACACACACCCGTGTAGGGCAAGGGAAATGGATAATTAATGGATAATTAATGGATAATTACTCATGCAGTATCCTATGTGTATTACGCTGAACGTGATGAGAGAGTCAGGACAACGGAACACACATCACTTGACAAGAGGCTTGTGGAAGCTCACAAAGGCACCCGAACACAGTCACATGTGCTAATACGTAGCTACGTCCCTGTTCCATCCTCGTCGCTAGCTCGTCAGATCTGCCTCGTGTTGGGGAGGTAAATGCGACAGCGGAGAGACGATTACTCTCGCTATATTGAGCTCATTGAAACGAGAGGTCTCTAAAACTTGCTAGACCTACGACTATGATCAGAACAGACTGCTAGTATGGGCTCCCATTGCTTTTCATTGCTACGCACGGTGCAACTCTCTGCTGCCAGAGCATCCACATCTCGTGGCAGTTCACAAAGCAAAAGGCATTTCTAAACCTGCAGCTGTGACTACAGTACTGCCGGGCGCCGAAGAACGGAGCGCCGAAAGAACGGAGCGCCGAAGAACGGAGCGTCGAAGAATGGAGCGCCGAAGAACGGAGCGCCGAAGAACGGAGTGCCGAAGAACGGCCAGGCTAGAATTTCGTCAATCACAGCATACCAATGTATACACGGTGACTCAACTGCCCATAGGCTGTAGCGCATGGAAATAAGAACGGTCTAGGCTAGGAGGCTGACACCCCAGTTCTTTGGCGACCGACAGTACTGTAGTGTCTCTTAGCCCATAGCCTGCTGTACCCTAGTTTGTATACGTTACCTGTCCTGTTTCCTTCTCCAGTTGCGTGTAGAGTGTAAGGCTGTCATAGTGCACACGTCGCATGTTCACGCCAGGATGGAAGGTGGTGGTGAGGCCAGCCTGTCAAGACAGCGCAGTCGCGGCAATGATTAGCAAGAACTTAACTCGGAGGAGTGCGCAACCATATCACAGATAGATGTGCACACACACACACACACACACACACACACACACACACACACACACACACACCAGACCTCAGACATGCCCATCGCGGAAGCGATGATAGCGAACAGCTATGTTAGACATAGCAACTTGTGCTGGGATTACACCATTCAACAGCTTGCAAGGCTGATGAATTGACCGCCACTATTTTTAGCCTGGTATCCACCACACAGCTGTTTGAAGTGACTATTTCTGGCCAGTGAATCCCTACACACACACACACACACACACACACACACACACACACACACACACACACACACACACACACACACACACACATACATGTACATGCACGACACACACAAACATACACACACATAACGTTACACACACAAACAAGCAAACAAACACACATAAACACTTATACTTGTATTTGCTCACTGTCAAAACTGGTCACGTGGGTCTCCCCGGGAGAGGGGAGAGAGACTCAAAAGGAATATCGGAAAGATGACTCAATTGGCTTTTGAATCGCCCAACGGCTGACACCCCCCGAAATCCCCAAACTATGGGTGGACCTGGAAATGATCCCACTTATGGGCTCGTTACACCTCAGTAAGTGGGTGATAACAAGGTGCAGAAAAAGCACTGACGGGATCAGGGTATCCGACCCGGGATCCAACTGCAAGTACCCCTGCCCCCAGTGAAGGTAGTAATTGCTACTAGTGATGGTGGGTGGCTAAATCAGAGTGGATCTGATACTTCGAAGTAGAAGCTTCACTGGCACCATCGATTGCACAAGAATTAATCTAGCCAGAAGCAGTCCATGGTTAACAGGTATGTATACTTCAAATAGACAGAATTATCAACCCTGAAACCAACAAAGGTGGCAAGTACAACAATACACCTTCAAGCAGCCGAGCCCGTTGGCAACAGACCCAACACTATCTGGCATAAGTGTACCCACCAACCGAACTAGCTGGCACACACACATTATATCCCCGTAGACGCCTTTTGTCCTTTGATCACCTGCACGCATAGCGGACGTTAAAGCATTTTTGTCCCCCAGAAAACTTCCTAACAACCAAACCACAGTGCTGACTTTCAGCAATACATTCACTACCTTTCCCTTACGGCATGCCAAGTTGACCCTGCCGTCAATTCAGACTTCTCCAGCAGGACAACCTCGGGACAGGCACCGATGCCATCGATTGGGACAGCACGCGGCGCATCCAGCTTTGCCAGGTGATAGGCTATACTAGTGCCGACGACTCCACCGCCTATCACCACAACGTTTGCTCGGTCCACGGTGAGCTCCGCACTACTACTTGTAGCAGTGCGAGAGGGCTGCATCCGAGCAAGGGGACTGGGCCTGAAGAGCAACAAGACACACAATAAACAGCAGGTGTCTTAACCGAAATTCGGGTACAGTCGTCCCTCTTTAATCCAGCACCTTACTTTGAAGCATAAACCAGAACCCTCTATAAACCAGCACAATTTTCAGCAGCTAGAATTTCAACTTCATGCACATTGCAGCAGTAAATCAGATTTGTTAATCCATCACCCTCCCTAATCTAGCAGAATTTCCGGAGCACACATGGTGCCGGGTTATAAAGGGACCTCAATATCACAAATCTAAATTGCTGCTCGTGTATGTGGCTAGGCGGCAATGAGCATACAAATAAGTGGATGAGATATGCTCGGTCTGGTAGCCACCCAGCTTTTATTCAGGCAGCGTGACCAACTGCAGGTCAAGATATCAACACAAAATGCCGCAGATACACAACAGATCTGCCGCTGGTCAATGTTAATCGCTCCCGACTGCCGTGGAATTCTCAGAAAGGCTGTTTTCCTTGGCTGACAGCTATGTGTTTGGACATTGATTCTTCTGCTACAAAATTACTACTGCACTTGTTTGTCACACTCAAGAAAAGAACAAATTTTAGGCTCCTCACAGTCAACATTATCAAAGCTTTTCACGAGAACATGTACTTTCACAGCCCTCTGATCAGGTGGGATATAGGCAAAAAAACTGATCAAGTACAATGATTTAAATACAGCAGACATGTATGTGATAGAAACAGCACAACGAAGACTTCACTTGCCAGAACAACCCAGTTAAAATTCACAGGTATTAAATAGAGCGGGGCAAGCAGCAGTACACTGTGACCCTGTACAGCTTTTCCATCGTCCAACGCACCACAAATGCGCTCTCCAGCCGACCTCGACACGTTGCCACAGCACGCCACCACCAGCAGCAAAGCGACACATCACGGTTGGTACTGAATTCCTTCATGAGTGTGGAGGTCAGCTGGAGAGCGCAGTTGCGGTGTGGTGGACGATGGAAAAATCGGTATACCAGGTATAATCAGAGTAATGAAAACTTGGATTGGATTGGAAGGTTGTTGGTTTGCGCTTCGTAGATGTGTTGGAACTAGGACGGTGCCAGGTCGTCGAATGTCTCAATATCCTTGTCAGTTTTGTGCCTTGTTGTCGCACTAACTGACTGTATTATTATTTCGTTACCTTGGTGGACTGTTAGTCATAACTAGTAACTTCTAGGTTCTTTTCTCTTTACCGAAATCAGAGTAATCATAGCGTATGGTAAATATATTTCTTTTCAAAGAAATTTGCTTCGTTTGCACAACGAAATAGTGGCAGCGACTTCGGTGACAATAGGCCTATTTGACACTTTTATTTTGTGCTGATGATTTACAATAAATATGTGCAAGTAGCTAGCTGGACACTCAGATGTATGCTCCCCTGGAGACATAATTATTGTAGTACTAGCCCTCTTCACAGTGTACTAGTGGCAGTTCACCACTGCCTGCTGGCGACCTTACTCATGATACATACATGTATAATAATGATATGAGTCCATTATGTGCAATTCACCGAGCTGAGTGGGTATGATTATGATTGCGTGGAATATCGAGAGCATAGGATTGGACATACAATGATACAATAATAAGTATCTAATATTGACTGAGTACGAGGTCAATATAGGAAAGAAAAGCCGAGGCGAAGCTGAGGTCTTTTATTTCCTATACTGACCAAGTACGAGGTCAATATTATATTTATCACGACTGACCAAAGCATGTGTTCAATCGCTAAAAAGGAGTCAAATATAAGCGGTCAATATAGCCCTAAGGAGTGAAATATGCAGGAATATTTGACTGCTTAGGTATGGCAAAAATCTATGTGAGTCAATACTAAGGGAGTGATAATAATAATTATCACTCCCTTAGTATTGACTCACACAGATTTCGTACTCAGTCAATATTAGATACATATTGTAAATTGTACGGATCTCTCCACACGTTCTTTTTCAATCATTTTTATTGCATTTAGCTGTTGTTGAAGCACATCGCCTTTGGACATTGTCTATTACATGTACTGATAGGAACTGTATTACTAATAATGACCGGGTGCATTAGCTCACAACGACCAGTCAGCCTGATATGAAGTGTATAGCGTTTTTCTATTCCACTACAATAATATTATTAAATGCTGGATTCCTAGATCAGAAGCAACAACAACAAAAATGACATGCAGCTCACAAGTCACTTCTAACCTTGCAGCCATCGGGCCCAATAGTCTCTGAGCCCATCGTAGCTGACTCATGTTGACTGCAGCTTCAGTCAGAGCGCGCTAGGAGGAGACGACGACGCAAACTCTGAAGCTTTGCTCGTTTCACCAACGGACAGCGGCTGCACCCAGTGAGAGTGGCGGGTCAATGGCCACGTAAAATCGTTACGAGTAGATTCTACGGAGTAGGTCTACAGCCTGTACAGGATCCTAGGACGAACCTTTCGGATTCATGCACGTATACGGTAATCGTTCTCACTCCACTGACTGCAGTCTACACTATAAAGTACTAGTACTAGTATTATGACTTGTGCAAGTAGTTGTTGTGGACACTGGACAGTCTCCTTGTTCATGGTTCTGAGCAGATCTACACAATGATTGTCATGTACACAGACTAGACATGACAGCTCAGGCCAGCGTTTGTTGATTTGATCTGATTTTTATGTTCGTGTTGGCCCTCTCGAAAAAGTGACGCCGAGTCCGACATGTAGATCTACAGACTACAGTCAATAGTCAGTAGGATAGGTTAGTGTGATCGCTTGATGCCATTGCGAAAATGAATGGTCGTCAGTGCATTGTCGATTCTATCTAACGCCGGTATAAACGGTAGATAGAATCGACAATGCACTGGCGTGACGATGGTCGCCGGACGCCGCCACGGCCACGCCTCCGTCATACCCACACTAACGACATTGTATCACAGTGTAGTTGTTGTAAGTCGCACTACGATTACGTAAAGATGTCCGTCTGGAATACATTATTTTTGTCTATCGAAACCAGCCGTTGCAGCAGACTACAGTGCAGACAGCCGTACAGTACAACAAATCCAAAGCACATCAAATAATTATAACAGTTGTCAACTACTTGAGAAAACGTTTGACAAAGCAAAGTAAAAGCAGGGAACCCGAACTGTGCTTGTCAAAGTGTTGCTTTTCGCAATCTAACATCATTCTATCAGTGCAAGCTCAGTGACTCCCCCCAATACTAACTTATCTGAGCGTAACTTTTGGACCGTTTGGTGTCCTAGGCTTTGGCCGATTTTGGTGATCTTGGTGATCTTGGGTTGTGAACTTTGTAAAGTAGTCTGTATGCACTGAACACTGGTACAGATATATCCGTACTACATGTATGGCACTCAACGGGTCAAAACATGGACACACACACACACATATACACGCACACACGCACACACGCACACACACACGCACACACGCACACACACACACACACACACACACACACACACACACGCACGCACACACACACAACACACACACACACGCAGAGCACCAGCACTTCCTGGAGCTTCCACATGCATTAGCTGTGACCGACAGTTTCATCAACGACTACGTAACACAGTCGTTCTTCTATTCATGTCCAAAATGAGTACGGACCAGAGTGTGTCTTGAAAAAATTGAAGCATGAAGGTAGTTGTGGCGGTTTATCTACAGCGCTTCGGCGCACAGTCGACGGGTGAAAGATCCCGCTTTGCTTGTCGCAGGTGGCTGTACAGGAAGGTCCAGGATTAGGACAGAAGCCGAGAAGGGACAACTATCCACCGTAACCGAAATAGGTAATAGTCTGAGTTAGTTGGAGCAGATTCCCACAGAAGCAATACGTTAAACACGTGCACAGTGCCAAAATGCCGATGACCATGATGCCATTAGGCCATGGCCTTGGGCTCGGCCCAGTAGGGACCATGGCCGCAAAGCCATAGCCGGGCTAGGGCCTAGTCTAGTGCCGAGTAAGGGCGGTGCACCGGTGCGGGTGGTAGCTAGCTAGCTCCTCAAGAATAATGATGGGACAACTGTGCTCAGCGGGAGGACATAGCTATTGTATTGTAGGTGATTAGGAGCGAGTAAAAAGGACGTTTACCTTCATTGGCATTTGCTCTTTTCCTGGCGATAGTCTTCCGTATTCCGTAGTTCCGGGCCTCAATACAATGTAGTATGAACTCAGCTGCTGCATACCCGCACTTCATTGTAGACACTTAGTTATAGGAGTCAGTTCCTTCGGCAGTAGGGGTCCCATACCTCTGCATGAGAACATACCGACCGGCTCGTACAGTACTCCCTTCTTATCCCCTTCCCGCCCCATGCTTGTGTCGTGATCTCAAGCGCACGATCATGATCTTAGAAGTAAGTAAGTAATTAGTTAGTTACAGTAGTTAGAATCCACAATGCACATGCACATGCACTAGCTACTATGTGAACCTAGGCTAAAACAGGGGCGTGCTCGGCCCCCCAACTAGGGGGGTGCACGGGAGCCGAGGGGAGCCCCCCCCCCCGGCAATTTTCTGCAATTTGTTTGCAACCTTTCTTGAATTTTAGAGCATATTTGCATACATTACAATTGCCTTGGATCAGATTGAAAATTTTTGGGGGGTGCACGTGCCCCCCGTGCCCATCGCCGAGCACGCGCCTGTAAAATAAACATTATTGCATACTAGCACAGTGTAGTACTTGGGGGGGGGGGGGGGGGGGCTTTGTGGTGCGAATCCTGGAGTGTGGACACGTCGTTCTGACTGACTCTGTGCCGGTTGGAGTTGCGGACTCTCGAGTCTCGATGTGCACCGAGACTATGCAGTATGCTGCAGTCATTTTTTGTAGTTGCACTTCTGACACCTATGACTTTTACTGGTGCAGTGTCTGGTGTCGTCAGTCGACTGTCGATGTCCGACCACCGAGTCGGCGCTGTCCGTCTACGAAATCATCATGCCGCTTGATCCAGTCTGCACTGCAGTAGAGGTGGGAGTAGATCTCACAGGCAACTGGTTTCTTGTTCACGCTAGCCCTCATATCACTCTTCACTGACTTCATGAATTCAGTCCAGAGTCCGATGCTCTGCTTTTCCGGATCACCAATGACACGGCAGGATCGATACAACAAGACAACGACCGTCGTTGTTCTTTCATACCCCCAGGCCTTGGGATGGGTGATGAACCTGAAGAAACACGATCAGATTCTGCGGTTTCTAGAAGATGCATGTACGAAGTGGTGGTGCGCACACAAAGCCACTGTTCCTGCTCACCGGAACGAGAGAAGCTTGTTCACAACGCGTTACGGTCCAAGTAATGCATGTAAACCAACTTAAAAGTTTGTGGTGCGAGCCTTCTGCGAGGGCCTATCCGCGATGGCAGTCAATATTTCTAGGACGTACATCTACCATGTCTACTGCTGCGCTGCGTGCAGTCACTCTTGTCCTCCCTTTCCAGGAGCTCCGGAGACCCATTCATGCTACACGGACACTGACAGTCTGTACTCATATCACCTACGTGTATCTCTAATCAGTACTAACGTAAGATGATCGTCCAGGTGGTCGACAGTTCCCTATCAGCTGTACTGGTTTTTCAGTCATCAGACGAGTAGATTGCTTCCAAGAGTAACAACCCAGTACAGTCATGTAAAAATTGACATACCGGTAGTACAAGTCATGGAACTCTCGCGATTTCGCTCCTCTGTTTGAGTTCATGAGTACTACGATGTCAATGTAGTAAGTTACTCTTTTCCTCAGGTTGCTGCTGTCGCAAAAGAATGGACCAACGGACGCGGTTTGACTTGGGTTATTCGCTGCGTTAGAACAATGACCTATTAAACCGGTTGTCTCTGTTCTCTTCTGCCGTTGTGGTAGTATAGTGCTCCATCCTTGTGGTGTTGAGCACTCTAGGCAATCTGGGAACTCTTGCTATTGTAGTACAATGTAACTAATTATTTCCTTTACTACATGTACATGTATGTGCTTCCATAGCCACTTCTAGGCTAGCTAAGCTTTTGCCATCATTTTATTGGGTCGGCATCCCGTTTGAATGTGCCAAGTAAAATAAAAAAGTTAAAAAACCACCAACAACAACAACACTGAACAACAACAATACCTGAACAGCTACCCCAGATCACCCTCAGGAATAGTCCGCTTACCGTAGCACAAAAACACAAACACCTCGGAATAATCTTTCAGCATGACCTCCGTTGGACGGAGCATGTTGAATACATAGTCAAAAAAATCACTCAAGTCTTTCAATATTCTTTTTAGACTAAGTAAGGTCTACACTGAGTGACTCACCAGTGATTCTTTATCTCACATCTATCAGACATACATACTACCTGTATTCTCATATGCGAGCAATGCTCTCACACCGTTGTCACACACTTCCCTTGACAGCCTAGAAGAGAACGACTCCAGCGGAAAGCCGCCAGAATATGTGTCCACCTTCCCCTTTACACACACTTAGAACACTCCCACCTTTTGCATCGCATCAAATGGCCAACATTATTTTCACGCTCTATTAAAAGTTAAACATACTCTTCGCGCATTCTCTTCTCCACAATTATGCCCCACCACATATACTCTCGCTGCATACTGCTAGCAGCGTGCAACCTCCGTATAATTAATATTTACGTCGCTCTCGTACTTGGCACTTGCTAACTCCGCGGACTGATCGCTGTCGAGCTGCGTTATGGGGATTTGCAGTATACTGTATTGCTAAGGGTTATGGACTCTTGGTATTAGTGTATAGCGTAACTTGTAGTTCCTTGGTCATTTTTCTTTCCCTTTTAATTTGGCCCAACTGACAAAGTACTGATTATAATTATGACAGTTGTATGTCCTATTGACTATTGTCCTTTTTATTTGGCTTTGGAGGTGGATTCACGTGATCATGGTTATTGAAGTCAGCGTCGAGATGTAGGTTTACGTCTGTGTCCGAGGATCGATGGACCCCCAGCGTCTTGCGTCTCTGGTGATACTCTGTCCACGAATGGACTATCCATGGGTTCTGACTTCTGGCAGATAATCACCTCCCATGCAGTCATGGTGTCGTTCACAATGTGTTCAATGATGTCACTCATGTCAGTGATGAATGATGATGAACTGGTGTATCGTGAACGTGATTGTGTTCCTTTACCATTGTTTACTAACTATAAACGAGTATTAACGTTACTTCTAATAGTAATACAAGTCATGTACATGTACCGGGAGTTCTGATTGAACCTCGATGCCTCTACAGTCCATTCAGAAAAGGTTGAGCGCTGGCTCTGGAGAGCTCCCGTGTTATGTTTGGCGATTTTGTGGTACACTGTGCAGCGCCGCGCGATTCGAAACTTGAAAAAGGGTCCAAAAAGGCACCTCAACTGGGGTTCGAACCGCAAATGTACTGTTATGCAAGTGGGGTGAACGGCCTGGATTTTCATGGTTTTTACCCAATTCAGTGCTTGGGGGCAAAACCTGGCCGAAATCCTATTCTTGTTATGGCTTGCTTTTTGGAGAAATAGACTTCAAAAACAAGAAGAGCATGATCTGATGATCGGGGATTGCCAAAAAAAGGAGACGAAAACTCAAAATTTGACCCGTTTATGGCCAAAAGCTAGGATATCAACCTTTTCTGAATGGACTAGGGTCCAGCGGATTCTGCCGGCAGAAAATTGGCAGAATTCGGTACTTTTTCTGGTAAATTTCATGCATGTTTGGTATGTGGATAAAGAAATGGAGCAGAATTCAAGGAACTGCCCGCCATAAGGTTTGTATGGTTCTGCCAATTTTACTGCTTTTCGAGCAGAATCTGCCACCTTTTCGAGCAGAATCCGCCGGTCCTTAGAATGGACTGTAGTAGCCTACATTATCATGATTATCATAGCCAAAGAGTACAATGCAGAATCTACTCTCTGGTGTCATAAATTCCTAAGCCAGAGTGTGGAGCTTCGCATCGCTTTGGGAAAACGCTGTTTGCATCGCTTCCGCTATACTACTCAGATCATGGAGGCGTACCTGTACACGGTTGTATGCCCTTCAACACTACTCTGCCTCTGGCTCTGGTAGAATCTACAACTAATTACTTACTTACAAGGCTTGCATGACATGTACTGTACCGGTATGTTCTCTTGGTAGATACATTATTATTAGATCTACAGAATAATAATTGACAGTCCAGTACAGAAATGCCAGGTGGAAAATTTGTTCTGTGACTGACACTGACTCTCACTAGAGTCGTTGTCCATTTACTACGGTAGGATGTTTTGACTTTTGTAGTTGGGCAACCTCCACTGGCTCCAGTGAGCGTGCAGGCATCAGAGCCCAGCTACACATACACCAACACCAACACCATTACAGAGCCAGATCCAGAGCCGATCTAGGACAGAGGCTAGGCGTCAAAGTCACGGCTACAAAACTGTCTTTTTTGGTATTTTAACTATTTTTCAATACGTGGAACCCCATTGCCACATGTGATTGTTCACACTCACAGTGTCACACTGTCACACTTTGTGTTCACAGCATGCAGAGACTAGATCTTCGGCTGTGTGGGATCAAGTACTGAAGTTAGTTAGTTGATCTACATACACTGATACAGTCATACTCATAGACTTTGTAGTGATCTGGTGATCTACCATGAATACCGCGCCGGCTCCGCATTCGTAGATCTACTCGCAGGCTGCTACTTGCTAGTCATTTTTTTGTTGGCATTCTTCTTGTGCATTTTCTCCCGCAAAGCCCATCACCTGATCACGTGAGCCGGTTGGAGGGAGAGACCAAAAACAGTGCAGACACGAAAGCACAGTCATTCGTCGCTACACCGACCATGTATGCACCGACTGTACTTGTGCACTGCACTGGGGCTGGGAGTGGGAGAGCTAGAGTGGGTTGACTGGGCCGACGTCGGGCAAGAGTAGGTATCGAATGTTGGACTGGGAAAGAGTTGAAAGTGGCAGTGCATGCATTGCCTTATTGCTCGTGCGTGCCCAGCGTTCGTGTTTTCGACTTGTAGGTGCGCTTGGTTTGAATTTTGAAGACAAGAGTTCTCCACGGAAGGACAGGTGTCCTCTTCGTTCCTTCCACGAAATCTGAAGTGAAGGCTTTCGGCCGCTGCATGTGCCACCGGCCTCCCCGTGCCTAAGAAAGTCACTTAGTGGACCCTACGCCCCTGGCTTGTGATTGTATTTATACTGCGTCTGTCCGTGCCTGAAATCAATCAGACGCGGGAAGCGAGAAGAGTGTGACTCCCTCGGTCGAAGAGTTTGTAAAATATCCTCAGTCGAGCAGTACGGTTGCACGAGAATGTCTCAATGACACTACACTGGTGGTGGTGTGTGTGAGTTTGCTGAGCCTGGCCCGGAGCGGTGCCCGTGGAGAAGAAGAGCTTGACGGTGCTTGGAACGATTGCTGCTGCTCGCGTTCAAGCCTAGCCGTAAGGGCCAGTTACCCTGAGTAGGCGCGGCGAGAGAGCATTATGGTCATGGTGGAAACACAGTCGCTGCTGCTGCTGGTATCAGCTGTTTGGCTTTGCCCTCTTGCTTGGATCAAGTGCACTGTCAGCGCACAATCTGAAGGTATGTGTTCTTGATTGCTTGCTCAGTGTGCCTGATCTTACAAGATATTTCTAGCGGGTCCTCTGCAACATGGTATGTGCATGGATCCCTGCGCGTAAATATTCGTTTTCTCTTTTGGTTTGGTTGCGAACATTTGGCATGGGAATCCTCGAGCCAGTTTTGAACTGATTTCTAGTAGTAGTAGTATGCGTTGCATGCCAGTGATCAAGTGGGGCTACTTGTTTGCTGGACATTTTCTGGTATTCACCTGCTGTAGCCTGTAGTGTAGATGATTTTGTGCCTTTTCAGTTGTTAGACTCTAAGAATATTATTTTTAGATGTGTTTCTGGTGGTATGTAACCTCCTGGCAAAGAGGTGAAACCAACAACAGTTTGCAAGGACATGCAAGAAGTGCTCGATGTAGGGAAGGAACGAGGAAAGGAGCAGTGTTATCGAGGGTTCAACGCGACGTATCCGGTTCTAGCCATCAACCAGCTCACCTACCACACCACCATCCACTTTACTTCTCACGAGTTGCGGCACCATTCGGTCGCCGAAGAAGTGTTCGCGGAGAACCTGTCTGGCCGGCATCCACCCCTACCCGATGTGGTTAGCCTTGCAAGACTGACTGTGCTGCGAGGGCTTGTAGTGGCCGTATGGCTCCTGTGACTATCCGACAACGGAATTATCTATGGCCTTGCTGGACAAGTCGTATGTCGATTGTGGGATGAGCTAGCACTGCCGATCCCTCGCTGAGTTTCTGTTTCTGCTCAGAATCAGATCGTCCGTATCTTTACTGCCCATGCACTGGAGGCGCTTGTCGGAATTGCGGCCCGGGCATATTGTGTTGAATGTATGTTTGTATCGTGTTGCGCTGCTCTGTGATGATGTCTTACACTCGTATCCCCTACGGTGTGGGCAGCGAGGTGTTGTTTTCTTCTTGTCGCCCGTATTCACCTTCGTGTATGCACACGATGATGCTGATCCGTTCCTGATTCCCAAACACAATTACACCTTGAGGATTTTTCGCTGCTCGTAAGCTGTTCCTCACGGAATCTTAGAGGCTGGACAAGTGACGCTGTCTATGATGCGTTTATCGCACAGGTTCCCACAGGTAGATGACACGAGCTTTCAAAATGCGGTCGCAGTGCTGTAACTTCCATGGAGGTCTGTCGAGAGAACTGCAGCAGTTGTGCACTGCCGAGTGCTAGTGGCATTGGCTGGAGATGAACTGCTTCGATCATGTGTCTAACTGCCAGGGGAATCCTTGGCCTGTCAGTAAACGTCTCACGGCTGTTGTTTCACTCTAGATCCTTTGGGAGACACCGACTGTTATGTATGCGTGCATGTGTGTAGGTATGCCGCGGGCAGCTGCACACGCACTGCAGCGCTTCCAACTGGCAACGCTCACTACTCAAAGTCAGGGGTGAAGCTCAAGCAGCTGAGAACGAGAGCTCCGACCTGCAGACTTGGATGATTATTTATGAGTTTGCAGTGCTGCACAGACTTAGTGCTGCGTGTTTTTTTAGTAGCATGAGAGTGCGTGCACGCTACGCGGTCAGTTATTGGGCTGTCAGGATGAAATTTCTCCTGGCAATCCGATCCCATCAAGAACTGGAGTGGCCGTCGCAGAAATAATTATTTTAGCAAGTGCACAGTTTGTTCATGGATACTACATCAGTACATGTAGTAGTAACAGTAGTATTCGGTATTCGCTTGGCTGCCGCTAGGCGATGACGGCAAGTCGGCATTTCTCCCTTTTGCACTTTTTGTAGAGCACGAGTTCATGACCTGGCGACATGGCTAAAAAACCAGCCTGGTGTGTTGTACTTGTACTTTAAGTTGTAGAGCCAGTTTGTCCATTGTAACCTGCGGCAGCGGGCCAGAGGCAGAGCTAGAGGTAGAGGTGGCCGTGGCAGCCGTAGAACTGGTTACTCTGGTCGCACATGATAATAGTAAATACTTGTTGTGAGTTGTATCTAATAACGACTAGTAGTAGTAACTAACTTACTACTTGTCATCAAATCTGGAGCGGCTTGCACTTGTCTTTGTACCACATGTAGGTGACTCGTGCAGCATGCAGAGTGATGGTGAGTAGATCTAAAACATGCTACACAGTGATGGTGTCCAGAATGATACTCTTGATCTTGGGGATCGATATGCAGGGAACGGCGCGCGATGGGTTTGACAGCTTGGAAAGAACAGGGCCAAGCTGGGTGCACGGTTGCTGCTTCAGAAAATAGCAGCCCCACCGTGGTGCGCTGATACCACTGTCAAATGTTTTGTAGCTCACTAACGGTGCCTGTCAGCTCACCTAGTGAACTCCTTCGTCGTCGCCTCGTATCCAACCGGCCGGCACTTGGACGATCTAGTCCTAACCACGCTCGGGCTGCCTGTGCTGGTATGCTCTGCGCGTCCCCGAGTTCGCTGTGCGTTCCAGCTAAACTGAGAGTTACTTCCTTCCGCAGCGCAAGCGGCCTACACTGCGCGGCGTAGTATCGACACAAACTGTGACACTGCATGCACACGCGTGGGCTCTGTGAAGTGACCTGATCCGCAGCGGGAAAGCGGACTTTCTTCCTGTCGTGACACGGCGAGGGAACATGGCTAGACGAACGCATAATCTGATGAGATCGAGTGCATTGGATTGCAGAGATTCTTTCCTTTCTTGATGATAGAGCAGTGAATGCCTTGCGCATGTGGTCAGTCCAGGCTTCCCCATGTAGGAAGGACTTGAAACACTTTCGATTTAGATAAAACTCATCGCAACGAACTATTTTTGGTGGCGCTTCTGCTTGCGTCGACAGGTTGTGAATTGTAATCGTGGTTTTCACAGCAACCGTAGGCGTTGTGTATCTTGGCTTCATGTCGTGTGTTCGAACCATTCTTATCTCCCGTGAGTACTAGTATTTATTTCTTTTTTTTTTCTAGTACTAATCATGTCGAATCGAGAGCGTCAATTATTATCTGTCCGTGAAACGTTACCGTTTCTAAATCTAGTGTCGACGACGCGCGGACAGCTGGCCTCCTATGCGTCCTGGAAATGAGTGAAATGTTCACTTTCTGCATAGCATTTGTACTAAGATTGTAGGCTGGTGTGAAACGCCTGTCCAACCTGCCAGTCGTTGGTGAATTGCGGGGAGTAAACATTGCCCAATATTTCTATCACTCACTCAGGTACTGAGGTAGTTGAGCAATCATGTTGCTGGACCCAGCACATGAATCATGATGACTTCAAGACTGAAAGGTTGTGTAGAAGTCTTTTGTTGCGTTCTATGCTCAGCTGAGTAACATGACTGCAAGTCTGCAGTGAAGAGATCTACATGACATGTTCCAGTGGCTCCCTGATTCACACCTGGGAGTTGTAGATCGCTTTGAACTCTAGTAACCTTAGTTGAAGTACCATGGACATGACAGCAGCGTGAATGTTTGTTGCGTAGCTGCTTGTCCTGGTGATGTCCCTGTTTCAGTTGAGCTGGACGCAGGCATGCAGGTTTTATGATGTGGAGTGATGTTATTGTGACCTCATAGTCATAGTCAGTATACTACATACTTCGTGCCATGGCATGGTGAAGTCACTCTGGAAGTTTTGACCTTGAAGTTTTGACCTTGACGTAGCAGTAGTTGGAAAGGTTGTGTCAGAAACCCAGCAACGCTATAAATCACAACATGCAGGTGACTTCCCAGCATTGTCGTCCTGGATGATGTGAGTGACATCCACATATTGAAATGTACCTTTTGTTGAGTCGCTTGTGTCACCACCAGACTAAAAAATATTGTAAAGGACGTGTGTTGTGTTGTGTTGAGTCGTCTCTGGAACAATCTAGCTCAAGCTCTGTGTACTGGTGTGCTCTGATTCCGTGACACATCATTGGCATGTATGGTCAATGAGCAATGGGAAATCTCTGCTTGTGCCGTGCGGAAATGCAGTGTCTAATGTCATTAGCAGTACGCGAGGGTGCTGGGTGCTGGGCTTTCACTGTGGGGTTCAGCCGGAGCAGGAGAATTTCTGCCTGAGCTGTGGGATAATGCAGTGTCTAATGAAATTAGCATTGCAGGGTTTGAACTGTGGGTGTTCAGCCAGTGTAGGTGCACGTACAAATAGAACTGTCATCACCTCAGTCATGATGCCTTGACCAGGCATTGGGTGCATTAAAGTCACTACGGGTTTTTGACCTGCCAGGGCGGAATCTTCCTGAAGTTCCACAACTCATGCCAGTTCCTCGTATTTCAGCTGCTACTTACAGGATCAATCATTGGGAGTTTGTCCAAAGTCAGTGTGCATGTGTGTGCGCTTGTGTGTGTGTGTGTGTGTGTGTGTGTGTGTGTGTGTGTGTGTGTGTGTGTGTGTGTGTGCGCTTGTGTGTGTGTGTGTGTGTGTGTGTGTGTGTGTGTGTGTGTGTGTGTGTGTGTGTGTGTGTGTGTGGTTTATTCTTCAATGGGGCTATCCATTCATCTCTAGTGTTCTCACTTTGGTGCACAAACAGGATATGCTTCTTGACTTTTACACAGAGTCCCTTTACCTGCCACACACTGACTGAAAATAGCATCTTTCTGCCAGTGGTCGTCCTGCCTACTTGGGCCCCACGTGGCACATATGATTGCTAGGTGTATATGCCTCTACAGACTTCAGTCGTCCCCTGGGCAGTCTGGGGTGTTGGCTGCGCATGAATTGTAAGAGCAGAAAAGAGGTCTGTACATCTAGGGCATCACAACCTGACTGAGTCAGTCCCCATCCTGTATTGAGTGTGGTGAATCGTATCTGTGAACCACTGTCTCCTGGAGCCAAAGTTTTACCAGTGCTTAGCAACGTATAGAACATAACAATGCCAGGAAGTGTGTCATTTCATCATTATCGTGCTTAGTACAGACTGTCAGTGACTGCCAGTCAGCAGGAGGTCCTGGAGCTTCAGCTCAGCCCGTAGTGAGTGACTACTGACTATCATTGCATAACTGGGAGGATTGAAGACCTCTGGATGAGGAAGATAAACACTGGGTCTTGCAGATAAGCAGACTGATCAAAGCGTGTGTCACACTATGTAGATAGTAGACACTTCAGTGATTTTGTGTGTACTCGAGGAAGAGACCTGTGAGTCATAAGGCACAGCGGCTAAAAGTCAAAGTTGGGAAAGGTCCTGATGTTATCACGGGTCGATGTGGTTCAAATAACCTGTGCCTTATCACTAAGGTTGAGAGTCTACTTGACAGCTATACACCCGCAACACTGAGATTAGTGACTTCTGCTGGCCACAGAGCTCATGAAGCACGACACACTTTCAGAGAGCCATAACCTGCACCTACTTTTGAAATACTCCCTGATTCTCAATGTCACGGCTTTGGGTTGCGAGAGTACGTTTTGCATGCAAGTTTCTTGCCGCACTTTGATTATTGTTCTTTGTAGGTAGCAGTACATGTGAAACGCAGCATTCCCGCATGCGATTACCTGGCTCACTTGCAATTTTGTGATTAACATGTATAAGACAGATGATGAGAATGGAAATTTGCTACCTGGCAGGGGAATGGCCTGGAGAAACCAGTTTTTCGGAAGCCAAAATTGGAAGGGATTCTGTCAGTTAATGGATGTGGATGCACATGTTGCAGGAATTCTGAGTATTTTTCTGTGGCAACAGCCTTTACCACTTCAGACAATTGGGCAATTTCTGTTCACATGTCCCTTGCCAATTTTGGCTACAAGTGTAATTGGTAATTATCTTGGAAGAAAGCCGTTGACAGCATAGTCAAGGGACACTTGTGTTCGGGGTGGTGTCAAGGCTCTAGGTCTCTTCTTGGGAAGTAGTTCACACGTTTCTAGCCCAGCATTGGTGGCACTGAATTGGCTGCTTTCAGCTTGTAGAGGACTCTTGTGATTGCTGAATGAGTCCGGACCTGTTCCTTGACAGCGTGTCATTGTGATAGGGATTACCCCCAATGGGCTGGTATACAGTAGTCGTGCCTTGCACTTGTCTGACTCAAGTCACTTGTGGTTGTGTTGCCAGCAGATCCAATTGAGCCACCAAGTAGGCAAATATGATGAGTATATTGCTGGAGACATTTATGTCCATACACTTGACTAGTGCAGTAAGTAGGGTAATTGTAATTGGCACAGTCATCATGCACTTGTACGTACACCGTAGTATTCCTGTGGAGGTCACCAATCCTTTCAAAGGAAACTATTGCCCTTACCCCATGCCTTCCAATGTGTTCAAGTCTGGGTCCGGGGTAATAGTACATTGGATAGCATTGGTAACCAGATGGGATGACGTTCCCAGTTCCTGTGCCACATAACTAAATTGAATGTCTGGACGGGTACGACCTGGATACTACTACTACTAGTAGTAGAAGTCCAGTGGAGTGTGCACTTGAGTGTGAGGGTGTCGGGAGATAGGGAGATAGCTAGCAATCCTTATACGCCCATGGCGTATACTGTATTTAGGAGTGGTGGTGCCAGGCATATAGTGCACCAACTGGTTGGGTTGCCTGTGTCACAATGAAGTGTGGCTGCGTTTGGTCACGCTACATTGCGCACTTGCTTTGCGCAAAGAGTGTTTGGGAGTGAGCAATCATTTGTCTCTGCTCCACGTGTTATGTGCGGCGGCCCCAGTTACAGAATCTGATGTGTTTTCGTAATAGCATTCTCCTTGGGCTATGACCGTTCTTCTAGTTGGGGACAGATTTCTCAGGCCACATACCCTATCAGTACCCAGATCGTGTAACTACGATGAGATTGCACTTGTCCCCATTATCCCCTAGGATGTACATGAATGGTCCTTTGCCATGCCATCTATACTACAGAGGCAAGACGTTGGGAGAGGTAGAGAGACAGAGGTTTCCTCCAAAGTACAGAGCCTGATCGAACTCCAGCAGCTGGTCCATACTCAAGTGGGAACATGTGTAGGAGGTCCCAAGAGATCTTATTCCCTACATCATTAGTAACAAGGGTGACAATTACATATTCTGGCCATGCCCTCACAGTAGAAATTTGTCCTCAGGCTAACTATCCCTAAAAGGTAATTAGTAATAACAATTACGACGCTTTGGCTCCTTCCCACCAAGTTCAACACTGTGTACAAAAGCTTGCAGGTGCCGGGGCAGCTCCAGCTCTCTGAGTTGATGACACTGACATCACTTGCACCATGAATGTCGTATCTCAGGAGTCTAATGTAATGCAATCACCTGGAGTGTCAAAGCGTAGCAGTTTCCTGGTGCTTTCCAAAGGCTGGCGGGAGTCCTTTGCCACAGTCTGTCATCTAGACCTTGACCTTCCTGTGCCTGACCACTTTGCAATGGTGCTCTTCCCCCCTGTGCTCGGCCATGCGCGAAGTCACGGGAATGCACCACAGTGATCCACTGTCACACTGAGCCAGTCTTCAGATCACATTGCAGCACAGGCACTATAAGCATCCAAGCACAGCACGCACCACAGCCTGGGTGGTGTATGCGGGTCAGTTCTACTGCTGCTGCTGCTGACATCAGTGATTCAGTGTCCAGTGTCCCGGTAGTGTTTGTTCTGTGAGGATCACAGGAAGCTAGATCTCAAATGCCTCATCAGCTGTGGCTCTCCTTGATGAACGAGGCCAAGGTGAGAGCAAAGGAGAAGAGGAAGGGAAGATGATCATGAATCAGACAGGGCTCAGTTGATGCTGAGTGAATGTGGCATTTCCTCTCGTCGTTGACGACTCTGAGCTAACCCAAGGATACACTCGTGTGTATCAATGGTCAAGCGTGATACGACGCATGTGCAATGCCGCTGTGGTATGCATAGACAACAAAAACAACACCTTAATTATGGTCCAGACAGTCTGAAGAATAGCAGGGAATCCACTGATCGTTTCCACCTACATGTGTTATTTTACCTACAACCATCATCATGCATGTACGAGATCACACTCATCATTTCGTGATGACAAGATCAGATAAGTTAGGAATGCGTGCCCAGCCCCTGTGGATCACGCTCTCGCATCCAGTACTGACGAGATCTGCTCCCGGTGTATCGAAATGGAAATTTATGTACCTTGTCTGTCGTCGGTCATCAACTTCATCTTGATACGTTGCTGTGCATCCCCGAGGTGTTGTGCGCATGGCCCATGACTTTGCACATGCCTTTTGCCAAAACATGCATATACTGGGACAAATAGCTGCACACGTATTTGACGGGAGAACTTGAAGATTGTTACAATGGCGCATGTGTTTTTGATGCACGTTTACACTCCACATGCAGATGCGGCATGATAACAATTTTACTTCTTTGCTTGTTACTCTTTGCTGTGCGCAGTGTGCAGGAATTGCATTGTTCATGAGTCGACGTGTTCACCGTACGATGAACGATGTCTGGACAACTCTGCATTGGCATCAGGCCAAGCAAGACTACAGTCAGAAGCAGGTGAGTTGCTGGCGGTCATTGTCTTGAGCATGCGTGCGTGTTGTGTGTATGTGTGTGTGTGTGTGTGTGTGTGTGTGTGTGTGTGTGTGTGTGTGTGTGTGTGTGTGTATGTGTGTGTGTGTGTGTGTGTGTGTGTGTGTGTGCGTGTGTGTGTGTGTGTGTGTGTGTGTGTGTGTGTGTGTGTGTGTGTGTGTGTGTGTGCAGGCGTACATGGGGCTTCTTTCATTACTTTTACTAGTAGGTACAGTGTCATGTGCAATTGTCACATTCATTATTGAACTGGTCACTTCTTCTAATATGAACATGTCACATATTGTAGCTTCTCCAGGGGGATGTGCAATGAGTTTTGTGAAATCATGAAATTTGAACGGCATTTGGTTTCTTATCTCTGTTCCCAATGCATGTATGCATCCACGGGTTGTGATTTTATCAGCTAGCTCGTTTGTTCATGCATGTAAGAAGTCATTGTGAGCGAACAGGAGGTTCTGGTCAGTGCTTGGCCGATTAATTAAGGCAAGCATCCATTGTGTCTCCTCCTGCAAACAACATTCATCTGTCATTCTATGTGCCTCTCATAGCCTCGTTCAATGGCCTCTCCCACATGAGATTCAACTCACGGCTTGGTGGCTTGCTTCAGTTCGTGCGCCTGAACTTCATCACCCGCAAGCATGGCGGCATGCTGCTTTACGCACCCGGTACTGAGGGCAGCAGCTTGCTAGTGGAGTTACGGCACGGCCGCGTTGTAGTCATCGTACAACAGCTCGGCCGCACAGTTCAAATCAACTCGCAGAATGGCGGCTTCAACGACAGTCGCTGGCACAAGGTAATGCGCATTTGGACAATCTTTTTGGGGCCTTTTTGGCTACTCTTTTCTGCACTATTCCTATCACATCACCACTGTAAAAAAAATCCACTGTGCCTGTGCAGCTTCCTTGTTGCCTGTTTTCCACCTGATGATAAAGCTACGAACGTACTAGCGGAAGAGTTTTGAGGATGTTGATTGTGAGGAGCCTGAAGCTAATTCTTTTCTTGAGTTTTAACTTGTTGTATTTCTTCTCTGGGCAAACCGATTACATGTACCCTGCTTGCCATTTCATAGTCCTACAGGAAAGTTTGTTGCATTTCATGGTCATACAGGAAAGTTTGTTGCATTTCATGGTCATACAGGAAAGTTTGTTGCATTTCATGGTCATACAGGAAAGTTTGTTGCATTTCATGGTCATACAGGAAAGTGTGTTGCATTTCATGGTCATACAGGAAAGTTTGTTGCATTTCATGGTCATACAGGAAAGTTTGTTGCATTTCATAGTCATACAGGAAAGTTTGTTGCATTTCATAGTCATACAGGAAAGTTTGTACAAAGCAGACCCAATCTGACATTGTATTGCTGTGAATGGTCTTGGCTGCGGTGTGTGCTGTGTGCTGCTCTAGATTGATCTGGAGTTCATCTTGGATAGGGCGGTGGTGGTTGTCCTGAGGGTGGATGGTGCCGTCGAGGGGGCCACTGCCAACGCGTCGCCACTGCAGCTCAGCGGAACTGCCTACCTTGGCGGCGTGGCCAGTTTTCGAGAGAACCCTAATCTGGGTGGTCACTTCTTTCGCGGATGCTTGGCCGAGGTTGCGCTAGATGCTGAGGTGAGAGAATATGAGACTTCTATTTTTTTAAAGTGAAACGACCTTGATTCTCAGGATCAATCCGGGGAAATGAACTGCCTGAAAAGAGAACAAGATGCCAATCTCACCAGGACTCGAACTGGGGACCTTGCTCGTCATGAGCAATATTCTAACCATCTGGAGTATGGGACCAGGCCGGCCATGATTCTAGCAGTATTTCTTCACACTGACAGTCAGGCCTGCATAGCTACATGTGATCATCTGGAGACTGTTCTGGTTCTTCTGCATCGGCATGTTTACAACCTTGCTGGTCCTGTTTACCCGAGCTGCATTGGTGGCTTTACGTTTCTGTAGGCTACTCTGTTCTAGGCCGTGCTGATCAGTATAGCAGTCAGTGCTAGCAATTCGAATATGATTCATTTGAGTAAAGAGAAAGGACCAATAAGTTACGAGTTATGACTAACAGTCCACTAACGTAATGAGATATTATACAGCCAGATAGTGCGACACCGAGGCACAAAGCTAACAAGGATATTGATACATCCAACGACCTGACACGTCCTTCTCTTTACTAAAATACTATTCGCTCAACATCAAAGTTATATTGATTCATTTGCCTTGCATATTCTGCACAGGCGGCATCCCCGTCGGCTCAACCGCTCTCCCGATCAGCATCGCCGTCACTCGCCTGGTCTCAGCTGGTCACGCACACGCAAGGAGGCGTGCGCCGCGGCTGCTTCTCGGATGTGGTGCGCAGGCCGCATGCCTCGCCAGCCGTCAGTCTGAGACGACCTCATTCACACATGCGCCTCGCCGCCTGGACTGCAGGTAAGACTGACGGGCGTGGCGATGCTGGTACACGGACAGCAGGACGATGTGTTGCATGTCGGAATTCTTTCTCACACCTCACATCAGCCTTAACCAGTGCTGGGTTGGCTGCGTACAGCCATATTGCAAGACTATATCTCTCTCTTTCTCTTTCTCTCTTTCTCTCTCTGTCTCTGTCTCTCTGTCTCTCTCTCTCTCTCTCTCTCTCTCTCTTTCTCTGGCTCTCTCTGTCTGTCTGTCTCTCTCTCTCTCTCTCTCTCTCTCTCTCTCTCTCTCTCTCTCCGTCTCTCTCTTACCTTCAGGCTCATCTTCGCTAAAGTTTGATATACGAACAGCAGCCAGTGATGGTTTGCTGGTTCTGCAGACTAACTCTCTACACCCGCCGTCGCTCAGTAATTACCTTGCGGTGGAGGTCAGCCATGGCTATGTCAGGGTTGTGGTGCAGGTATCCAGGCAAGAGTACACACTGCAGGGTAAGTCTCTTCCAAGCACTTCAGACTGAGAACTGCAGTTGCCTGCAAGTTGATGACGGTCTTGTTTACTGATTAGTTTTTCGAATAGTATGTATGTATGTGTGTGCTATCCATGGGGGGGGGGGGGCAGTGGGACATAGCAAAGAAGAAGATGGCAAATTTTGCTTAGGAAGAATTAGTACAGTTTGCTTGTTGATTGTTTTTGTCCACTCATCGCTCATGAAGTATGGATACAAAGACCTTACAGTATTGCGAACAACTTACAGAAGCTCCTAGTTGTTTGTGCTGAAGATGTGTGTCTGGACTGGTTTGGGGCACCATTGCCACACCTCTACCAATGGGTTAGAACATAACTAAGAAAGGTGTTCTCTCTCTTTTTGAATATGGGCATTTTGGCCGAATAGAAGTTGTGTTTGCAGGCTCCCATGCCATTGTCAGCGACAGATGTATTCAGTTTTTTTTATTAACCATTTATTTACCCCTGTGCTCTTGCATGCCTGTGTGATTTTCACCCTCCATTGCAGGTGACACGATGGTGAGTGACGGGACATGGCACCGCCTGCAGCTGAACTTCACGCAGCGCGGTTTGGTGATGCGAACCGACAACCGACCCGTGCAGTCCTTGTCATACCCGATCAGCGGTCTCGGCCAGGCATCGCAGTTGTATTTTGGACGTCGGGCAGCTCTTGTGACTGCACTAGGGGTGGAACGCCGCTTTCCCGTGTCTCTGCTGACGTGCTTGCGGCGTGTGCGCGTTGCGTTTGCTGACGTAAACATCCATGATATCGTCGACAGTGGCGGCAGTGATGTCCACATGATCAGTACAGCATGCTACTGGACTGACCCGTGTCACACACAGAACCCATGCGTGGACTCGCAGACGTGCATCTCTATTGCCGACTCTAGTCTGTGCAACTGCCCGGAATGCATAGTGACACGCAATGATGCAACGGTTCTAGTATCACCAACCACCACTGCCGGTCCGCTGAATGAGATGCAGATGCCGGACCTGTCTCAGCTTGAATTTGACGTTGTTACTGTGCCACTGCAAGTAAAAGAGGCTGGCTCCGAAACCACCAATAACTTCACACTCCTTGTCATCCCATCTAACCCGCAGCAGAATGTGAACCGCGTCACCGGCAGTCTTCACGGACCTGATTTCCCCGCCGAGGGCATCGATTTGGTTGTCTCGGTGGTCACAGCTCCACGTCACGGCAAGCTTCGTCTCACTAACTCCGCAACCTCACCGGCACCCAGTGTCAGTCATTTCCTTTACCAGCAGCTGACTCAGGGAGGTGTTACGTACGAACACGACGGCTCGGAGACGACGGAGGACACGTTTTTCCTGTCTTTGCTGGCCGCCACGGGCGAAGTTCTAGTGGAGAGACATGATGTGACGGTGAGTCGGTGTACTGGTGTTCATGTTCGGCTGTTCATGCCGATTCTGCCACTTTGGCTGCCGTCCTTTCGGCTTTGGTCTCCCGTGCTCTCAATCTAACCTGTGTTGCGGATGAGCATTTCTTGAATGAGGTTGGCTGTGTTGTAAGTGTAATACTGTGTGCGGGTACCATGTAACTGTGGTCATGTACGCCTGGATTGTATAGATCACAAGCCTTACGAATGACTGCAAGTTGCAACCTCTTCGCTAGTTTCGTTGATGTCTATTTCCCACTGTTTTCTTTTCTTCTTCCAACAGGTGACTATTCTGCCCATGAATGACAAACCGAGAAAAGTGAACTTATCCATCGTGCCCATAGCCGTCGGGTCGAGTATCTACCTCACATCCAGTAGATTGGCGTTTGTTGATGATGACGGTACGGCAGCGGCCACGCGGTTTGAGTGGCTCAACACGTCGCGTACCGTGCTGCCGGCCCGTCTAGAGCACGTGCACAACCGCGGCTCGCCGCTCTCGCACTTCACGCAGCAGGACGTCAACCAGAACCTTGTGCTAGTCGTTCACCTTGGCCCACGATCGGAAGCTCAGTTCGTGTTTGACTTCCGTGTCACGGACGACCTGGGTGCGACGACAACATTCAGCATGAGCATCAAGCCATTCCTGGGTGTCTTGTATCTTGATCGCAACACCGGCGTACACATTGCCTATCACGGGCAAGTGCGTATTAGCCAACACCAGTTGTTTGCCTCGACGTCGTTTGCTCATCAGTTGCCGGCACCGCAAGTCAAGTACACCGTGCATGACCACCCCACCAGCGCCGTGTTGGCGCTGCGTACTGCGGACACCGAGCACCTGATACCGACGACATCGTTCACGCAGGATGACGTCGTAGCCTCCCGTGTTGTCCTAGTGCACAACACGAGCACATCTGCGTCGCATGACTCGTTCACTTTCAGTCTGTCCAGCGGCTCCTTCGTCAGCCAGCTGCGCCGCAGAGTCAACATCACCATCAGCTTACCAGAAAGATCAGTACATCCGACTATTGTGGTTTCGTCGAGGCCTTTCGGCATCGGCGAGGGGCGTCACCGGGACCTTCCAGGCGACCTAATCTCGGTTTCACTTGATCCCGCATCGGCTAGCCGCGGGCCATTCCAAATCCGCATAACTAGCTCAGCGCGCACCAACCAGGGCAGATTCCTGCGCAGCAGGCCCTACACCATGCCGGTGACAAGTTTCCTACTGTCGGAGCTACAGCAGGGCTGGATCTCGTTCGTTCACCTGGACAGCGACGCGCCGTCGTCGGTGGTCAGCTTTTGCGTACGTGCGCACGGAGACTGGCCACCGGATGTTCACCCCCCGCCGGAGTCATGCGGTCATCAGCTGCTGGTGAATGTCAGGTTGCAGAATGATGAGGTGCCAGTGGTAAGTGGCAAACTAGTTTTAAGAGTTTCCCAATGGCTCCATCAAACAAATGTCTCCATCAGAGAGTGATCCGGGATTCTGGAACACCTATTTTTGTGGCACGAGTTGCTGCACTTAACATGTGCAGCACTTGTGGATCGGTAGAAGTGGCTTCGAATTAAATTGAACAGAAACGTTCACCAAAGTGCCGATGTTGTTTGAGGTGAAGCATCTAAAGATAAATCGAATGATTCAGTGGAGTAAGATGCTTGCTTTGATAGTCTCTCTTTCTCTTTTCTCGTGTGTATGTGTATGTGTGTTGCTTTGTTAGCTTGCCTATCAGCCAGCAAAGGTGATCAGGATACCGGAGGGATCGTGGCAGGTCATCAACAGCTCCATGCTGCTGGTAACGGACAAGGACACTCCGCCCAGAGACCTGGCGTTCACCATTACCACCACGCCGGTGTACGGCTTCCTAGCGCTGCTGCCCAACCGCAGTGTGCACGTGACCTCCTTCACTCAGAAAGACATCAACGATCACCAGCTGGTCTATCAGCACAGGAGAGGTGCTGGCCTGACTGATTCCTTCTACTTCTCAGTCAGAGACGCCGGCGCTACCAAGGGATCCCTGCCGGGGGTGAGTACTTTTGTTTTTTAAACATTTTAATGCCTATAATAGTATGTGTTGCAGTGGCTGATCTCCTTTCTGTTCTCGAACCCATGATTTCTCCAGACTCCAGAAAATTAGACTACAGTACATATCCTTCAAATCGACAACAGTGTGTCCAGTAGTGTGTGTGGTCGTGCACACGTGTGGGTACATGTACTGCTCGTTCAGCACTGCCTCCCATGCATATCCGCCCCCGGTATCATTCTAGACTGGCGGCGGTGTGGGCGAGCTTAGTGTCTTGTACATGAGTAGAATCACTGCATCACATTGTAATGAGTTCAACAGGGTTGTCCTCTGTGCCGTGTTGTTCTTTCAGGTTCAGTCGATCACTGTGGAGCCTCTGGAGCTCATGGTCAATGATCAACGACAAGTGCCACTGCTACTGTCAGCGCTTTCCAACGGGGCGGCGGACAGCATAACTGCTGTTCTGACAGAAGAAATGTTTGCGCTGTCCAGCAATGACCCGGAGCAGACCAGCGATGTGCAGTTGACTATTGCAACGCCACCCCAGCATGGCGGGATAGAGTGGACTGAAACGTCGCTCGCTGCGCCACAGTTCACCGTCGCTGACGTCGTGAATGGTAAGGTCCACTACCGACTCGCTGACAAGTATGTGCAGGCAACTGTCGACTCGTTTGAATGTGTCGCCACAATTGGTCGATCTCGACTGGAAGGAATTCGTGGCACGATCGAGCTGGAAGCCCGCCCGTTCATCTCCGCCAGCGTTTCTGAGAAGCTATTCGTGGAAATTGGTAGCACGACGGTGATTACAGCTGACGATATCCATCTTGAGTATGATCATGCTAAGCTGAGCATGCACGAAGTCAAGGCTGTCGTAACTAAAGGCCCGATGCATGGTGAAATCCTCGTCAGTGATCAGCCAGCCAGAGAGTTCTCGGCACACGATCTCGAGAACAGTGTCGTGTCTTTCCGTGGCCATGACAGTGCCGGTACATCTGACAACTTCTCATTCTACGTAACCAACGAGCACCGCAACACGTCCGTTCTGACAATACAGGTTGCCCTCTTCAACTCGCACATACAGCTCTTCGTGCACGGCCTGACGGTGGAGGAGGGTGGACGCACCGTCATCTCCCCGGACGCCCTGCTCGCGCTGGGCCCGCCGCAGCACGAGCTGCTGTTCAACGTTGAGGTCGGACCTCACCGCGGCCATCTCATATCCTGGGAGTCTGGTCGCAACGAGAGCATCAGCTCGTTTACAGCACGCGACATTGAACAAGGCCATGTCCTGTATAGCCATGACGGTTCGGAACTGGCTTCTGATTTCTTCAACTTCTCCGTATCCCTTCATCACCTGGAGAATCAATCGGCGTCGAGGCGCATCGGCCCGTATTCGGACACTGCAGTGGGCCAGCTGATCATCAAGGTCACGCGGAAGAATGACAACAAGCCGCAGCCCGTGAGTCTGGATGATGTGACGGTGGAAGTGATGCAGTTTGGCCAGGCCACGCTGACTGATCGCCACCTGAACTACACCGACGGAGACAGTGGGTACAACAGTGCCGAGCTTCTCTACACCGTCTACCGTGGCCTGAATCACGGCAGTCTCTTCATCGAGAACGAGATTGTGCGGACGTTTCGCCAGCGCGACGTGCAGCAAAAGCGACTTGTGTACAAGCATGTTGGCGCTGATGCTGATGAGCTGGTGGATCTGATGATGTACTACGTATCGGACGAGAACCCAGCTAATCATTATTACAATGCACTCACGTTCAAGATCATCCCCATGATTCTACTGGTCAACGGTAGCATAATGCACGTTGTTGAAGGCAAGAACCGTATCTTGTCGTCCGACTACCTCAACGTCATGTCCAATTTGGCTCCGCTGGACGCACGCGAAACCTTCTTTGTGCTTTCCAGCCAGTTATCCAGTGGACACCTCACCGTTAATGGACTCACACTGCAGCAGGGTGCCAACTTCTCGCTGCACGACCTGCGCAGCGACAGGGTTCTGTACGTGCACACCGGCACGGGCATGGTCACCGACTCCATCCTGCTAACGCCGCGCTACCGCAGCAAGGCGTTCCCCGCACACACCGTCAAGATAGTAGTACATGCTAGGGATCACACGCCGCCCAGTCTGCTAGCTGCGGGCACACTGCTTGTCGACGAGGAGCAGAAGGCGGTGATCACGTCCGCCATTCTCGCGGCTCGCGACGATCACGTGGACGATGCCGACGTTGTCTTTCGGCTGATACACCAGCTATCCAACGGCGTTCTGCTTGTGAACGGGCGCATCTCCAGCAGCTTCTCGCAAGCGGACGTGGACAGGAATCGCGTGGAGTATAGCCATCTGACCGGGCACTCTCTTCACGATCGGCTGGTACTCAATGTCACGGATGGTACCAACGTTGTACCCAGGATCATGCTCAACGTCACAGTCTACCCGAAGCTCATCATAACTGCTGGCCCGATCACGGTACACGAGGGTGCCTCCACGGCATTGGATGCCAGTAGTCTCCGGGCCACGAACCAACTGTACGCTGACAGTGAACTCGCATTTTTCGTTTCCCGGCATCCACAGCATGGGCAGATTGCATCTGTGCAGGGTCAAGCCGTTGACCGGTTCAACTTCACACAGCTGCAGGCAGCCCGGATACAGTATCAGCACGATGACTCTGAAACAACCAGTGATGAGTTCATGATCATGGCTCGCCATGGGAATAAGAGCAGCAATGAACTGACAGTCCAAGTCAAGGTGGCGCCGGTGAATGATGAGTACCCGCAGCGTGTAAACGAGCATCTACTGTCTGTGTGGCGTTATCATGATACCGTTGTTCCCAATACTAAGCTCTTGTACACTGATCTGGACACACCTGCCAGTGAAATCATCTTTTTCAATTATGACGGCTTCACCAATGCCCGTGGCAGTCTAGTGTCGCAGAGAGCTGGCACTCGACGGCCACTGAGGCAGTTCTCGCAGCAAGATATCAATGCCGGCGATGTGGTCTTTGTCGGGCGCAATGTGACCGGCCGAGACTCGTTCATCTTCACTGTGAGCGATGGCGTGAACGAGCAGTTCAGTGAGTTCCGTATCCGAGTGGAGAGTCTTGAACTTGCCGCGCGAGTGAACAAGAATGTCAGCGTGATGGTCGGCGGGAATGCAACGTTAGAACATGACACCGTCAGGCTGCGTCGTAATGACGACGTTGACGAAGAGAGCCTCGGTGACGCATACTTTGATCTCCTGAAGAGTCCACATTCAGCGCAGTATGGGCATCTGAAGGTTGGCGGGAGCATCGTCAATGGATTCCTGTATTCTGACTTGAGAGAGGGCAGAGTGGTGTACGTGCAGACCAGTGTTGACTTCTGGCCACCTGATGATTGGCTTGTGTTCTCCGTGCAGTCAAGCCCTGGCGTGCAGGGCATTGATAGCCTTCGCGTACGTGTTCGTATGGAGTACGGCACGGCACAGAACAGCCAGTTGCATGCCAACTCTGCTCTGCGACTGGATGAAGCGGGCTCGGCACTGCTGACGTCGGCTCACCTGAACGCGGCCAACCTTGTCTATCGCCTCGTGCATGACCTGAGCGTTCCGAGGGAGCAGTTGACAGTCACCTACAAACAACAGTTAGCAGGAACGCAGAGTGTACATGGATTGTTCAGACGCGTGGGAACCCCAACACCAGTAAACGCATTCACCCAGGCTGATATAGACAGTGGACGGATCGAGTACGTCCACGACGGTAGTGAACATCATCGTGATCATTTTGACCTGGATATCGACATCACTGACGAACGGAACACGGTCCTGAAACGTGTCCAGGAAAGGCTCCGTGTCAAAATCCGGCCTCTCAATCGCCGTCCAGTTGAGCTGCACGGTGAGTCAACACCTCTTCAGGTTGCTGTAACCGGTTCAATGCCAGTACCCGCATCAGGCTTCGTCAATGTCATCGATCGCGATCTGCCGGCAGAGGAGCTGTACTATGCCTTTTCACCGACTGCGGCTGGCCACTTCACTCTGTATGGTGAGGAGATTTCAGGCGAGGTCAACTTCACGCAAAGCAACCTGGATGCCGGCCACGTTGAGTTTGTGGCTGGCATGACACCAGGCGAGTACTGGGTGACGTGCATAGCCAGTGATGGCATACACGCACTGAATGTAAGCCTGAAGATCGAGGTATCCGAAGCGTTCCTGCAGCTTGCTCCCGGCAGTCCAGTCAGTGTGGTGCAGAAATCCTACACTGCATTCTTGGGCGGTGATCATCTCCAGATCAAGAGCAATATTCATCCATCGGAGTTGATCTTCAGCCTGAGCACAGTTCCATCACGCGGTCGTCTGTACAGGAAACTGGATGGCCTGCTTGCCAGTGTGGGGGATGCGGACCTGTTCAGCTGGGAGGATGTCCTCGATGGTAGAGTGGCGTATCGCCTGGAGGAGATGACCGACAGTGTAGACCAGTTCACCCTGGAGGAAGTCGGCGGGCAGATCAACGACAGTCAGTCCGTCGATGTAGCGGTACAAGTGAAAGCGCTCTTGACGTCAAAGCCGGTTGTTTTCGGCAATGAGGCTCTGATGGTGTTGACTCGGGACATGCTGAACGCCGACCAGATCGCCACTGGTCACAATTTCAAAGCTGTCGACTTCCAGCTAACTACCAACCCCGGGAATGGCGTGATCAACGTTCTCAGCGCCGACAACGGTAGACCGCGCAGCAGTCGCCGCCGTCGTCGACAGGTTTCAGAAGGCTTCACCTATGATGACGTGGTGGCTGGTCGTGTGGTGTATGAGCCCAAACAGGATGCCCCGCTGGCCTACGACGAGAGCTTTGAATTTCTGCTGAGTGGCCCTGAAGTACCACCCGGGGCAGGACGTCTTGACTTCACCGTGGACAGATCCGCTGGCACGAAATCGCCGCGACTGACAACAAGTTCCAATGCTCCATCATCTACCGGCACACTGTTTGCTGATTTGCCCGGTATGAAGAGTGACAAAGATGACGAGTACCTCATGCAGGTCATTATCCCAGCAGCCGGCGGTGGCTTCTTTGTCGCCCTTCTGCTGCTGACACTCATCATTGTGGCCTATCGCAGCAAGAAGCGTCAGGAGCAGAAGACCGGGCCGCAGAACAACTACGCGGGACGGGACGCCGGGGAGTCGCCGACCTCGGAGACATCATCATCGCTGTCCACGCACAAGACCGGAACGCTACGCGATGACACCATCCTGGCACAGGCCACGCCGGTGTCCGACGTTTCCAAGCCGTACGCAAGCACCACCAGCGGCGTGGACAGTGGTGACGGCACTCCGGGCGATTCGCCGGGCGCAAAGCGAGCTCATCCGTCCACCTTGCCGCGTTCCTGGAACTCCACGGCAGGCCATGTTGTCGTGGCTGGTCGCTCCAATTCAGACCAGGTGGGTGCTGCTCAGATAAACAGTGATACTACATGCACATACCGCAATCATGTTGCTTGCTGCTGTATGCTATAAGCTGAGTTTGAAAATGTCTGCCAGCAAGTTTTGAAAGTGTTGAGCAATCACTGTTTCGGGGACAGCTACACCATAGCTCAGTGGTTAGAGTGTCGCTGGCCTCAAGCGGAAATCCCTGGTTTGAGTCCTGTTGGTGAAGCCCTGAGTCTTTTTTTATTGGAAAACATTTCTAACTCAGCTCATAAGTGAAAAGTTGATATTGGTAACAAAGGTTTTGAGTAGCTTATCCAATGAGGTGCTACACTTGTATTGCATTTGATGGGTGATGTGCTGATATTGTATGGGGGATATTTAGTGTCCTTGCCCGTGTTCTGCATGCGTCTTTCCACCAGGAGATGGGCGCCTACGGACATGGTAGCACTACTCCCCACGAAGCCTTCTCAGGATCCCGACCTACAGCGATACCTCCAAACTCGCGCGGAAGCAGCACATCGCACTACTATAAAGTTTCACGGGAAGACAGTATAAGTAAGTGCATTTGTTGCGAAAGGATGATTGTCGGTTTGACTGACTGAAGGCACATCTATTCGCCATCAGGCTTCTCTGCCTTTTTCTTTCTCTGCTGCTGAAGAGATGCATTCATTCCATTGTAGTGTCTGCCCACACAGGTTCGAATCCTGTTCCCTGCACCATGTGGTGTCCTCAGATAGAGCAAAATTCTAACCAGCAAGGAGAACTTCAGACAAAGAAGTTGAGTCAGTGCGCAAACACCAAAGGAGTGCAGGCGCGAGCATACGGGTACAGGAGTTATACTGTATAGTGTATACGGAAGTGCCATCATGATACAGTGCTGGCAACTGAAATCCGACCCCCGAGCGGTGCGTCCACATTCTAGCAGTCTCTGTTTCGTAGTTTTTCCATCCCGTGTTGGGTCTTTGCGATGTGAGCGCACCGCTCAGGGGGTCGGATTTCAGTTGCCAGCACTGTAGTCATACATCGGAATATCACACAACAGAGTCACGGTGCTTCAGATTGCAGGGTACTGTGTAGCTGACAGCACTGATAACCAAATCCGTTGACTGCCTTCTCTTTCAGGGTACAATAATGATGGCCGAGGTGTGCCACAGGCCACCGAGGTAGGCGACCACATCAACAGTCACGAGAGCCTGGCCGCGTACGATCGTGTCTTCGACAAGATACTGGACAAGCGGCCGCCCACCGAATCGCCGGAGCAGAACGACGGCCGGCCATCATCGGCTATGACCGTGCTGCGCAAGAACGAGTACTGGATATGAGACTCCCAGCCACTGCCACTGCCAAATACTGGATACGAGACTCAGAGCCACTGCCACGGACTGATCAACAGTTCTGTCACGGCTGAGCTACATGACTTGCATGCCTGCTCGTTACACCCTCCACATCGGGTGCAAGCATGCACCTTCATATCAACATTCGACTTGCTTCAGGAGACTTGACAAATTCACCACTTGATGTTGCGATGATTGAAGTTTGTTATGTATTACAGTGTATGCAGTTTGAGTTTGTGTGTACCTGTGATTGTCTGCCTGCATCACTGTTCCGTAAGCCGGCGACTTTACAGTGGCTGGCACATGGACGTGCACCCTTGAGTTGAGCACGCAACCTTTCCGTTAGCTGAAGTGCATGTGCTGCAGCATCAAACCGATAATATATTTCGCTTCCGTGATCGCTTCGCTGGCTGAGCGAGCTACTGCTCCTCTTTGAACGCTGGCCACCAGCTTATGGTCTTGTTGATTCGCTAAATTGACTTTACACAACCAACTCTGCCGCACCTATCTAAGAACTTCACCTCTTTCTGACATTTCTCTTTGACCTTTTTTTTGCTTTCCTTTCCGCTATAAATGACAGTTCACAGCTATTGACTATTGTCCCTGCTGTCCCTGCAGTAAGGAGAGATTTGAATTCTATTCCTTGGATTTGGATTTTTATTCCTACTATTTGTAGCCATGCAGGTATGTCATAGGCCTGTTCACCCGTATAGATGTAGGCCCTTGCTAGTACTAACTTACATAGTCATGTAGTGCAGTTTAGAAGTCTATCTTCCTATTTATACGTTTGCAATCTACGTGACCGTTTCATCGTGAAGCAAGCAGTGGATTTGGGGGGGGGGGGGGGGGGGGAGCGGCCCTGCATAGTGCATCGTGATGGTTGCCACCCGGCGGCCGCATGTTGCTGGTCATGCAGCGGAAACACTGCGTGTCGGTGGCGGTGGTGGTACATCAGTTCAACAGACACAAACACAGAGAACTACAGTGACATGCAGCATAGAGTCTTTAGAGACTGCATGTTGCTGGCATGATGACGCGGAGAGAGACACTCTGGTTGCTTGGAATTTGAAAGTCCATGTTTTTTGTAACATGCTCACCATTTTCACTGCACTCAGTGACCAGACACTACTACAGTACTTCAGAAATGCTTTGTGATTGGCAGTTATCCAGATAGATGAATGTGCCCAGCTCCATGGATTAGGCCAGGTGTTAGAGCTACCGACCAAAATGCATTCAGTAAGGCATCGGCCGAATGCGAACAAAAGCAATGTCTAAGTTGCATTTTTAACAAAATAATTGTATGTCATTGGAAGGGTGAGAGGCTAAACCTACGAACTAGACTTTCCAATGATTGAAACACAAGGCTGGAAGCAGCAAAGCTGAACCAAAACTAACAACTGTGTTACTGCAGAAGTTGATCAATGATCAGCCAATGGGGAACTCTTCTGTAGAGAGAGAGAACAGTGTGGCTTGTTGTTGCCCTAACCCATGCAAGACAACATACATTTGCATGCACCGCAAGTATGGAGAGCTGTTGCCGATACGTTCTATAATCTAGCTTATCCTTGGGCTGGACACAACGCAGTCAGTACAGACCACGGGTCGGTTTGAACTTCAATCCTTCGTTATGGCAAGGAGCATGCGACGGAAGTCACCGCCGCAGTCATCCCGAATCCACCGGGATAGTGGCTTGCCATATGTTCGGTTGAAAGCTTCTTTCACATCGCCCAAGTCAATCTGTCCACATAGAAGTGATAGAACCATGACAAGAATCAAAGAAACATGGTCGACTCACTTGCTCAACAAATCGGATACTAGTACGCTGTCTTTACCTATCTCAGTTTCATGAAAAGTGCAGTAAGCAATCAGTAAGCATGCGGCGATAGTATACCCTCTTAGACTCCCTCTTAGACTCCACCAGCCCGGCACAAGAAGATCACCCTCGTAGTTACGAGAGACACCGTCCCTATTTCTGTGCACGATTAAAAGTTGTGCACACATGTACAATCGAAACAGGCCAGCCCCCCCCCCCCCCCATCAGTTTCGGCCAGATTAGTTACCTCTGAGCGGGAGACAACGACGCGGATGAGCCGATCTTCGTCGGTTCCTGCACCCTTCATGGACTTGTGGAGCAGCTGAGCAAAATACAACGGTGTGTCCTGGGCAACCATGACTGTTCGACGATACGTGGAGAGAGAGAGAGAGAGAGAGAGAGAGAGAGAGAGAGAGAGAGAGAGAGAGAGAGAGAGAGAGAGAGAAAGAGAGGGAGGGAGGGAGGGAGGGAGGGAGGGAGGGAGGGAGAGAGAGAGAGAGAGGCAGCAGAGAACATCACAAACGCTCAGTGCCCACCGTATTGCCTGGCTGTGAAGACTAGGTTTTGCTGCTCATGTGCAGAGTGCAGTGCATGGCTAACAAACTCCGTGTTGGAATGATTCCGTAATCAAGTAACTGGATGATGAGACTGCGGCCCGCACAACACTAGAGACCTTACAATCTTGCAAGCAGACACAATGTCATTATAGGTAGTAACTGGCTACGTGCATTACTGTCTGATTTTGTGAAGATAAGAGAAACAGCATTCCTTCATTGTAAGGAACAATGAAGAAGGCACTTGGCAGATTGTCATTATAGGCAGTCAGGTCATTATAGGCAGTCGGGTCGCTATAGGCAGTCGGGTCGCTATAGGCAGTCGGGTCGCTATAGGCAGTCGGGTCACTATAGGAAGTCGGGTCGCTATAGGCAGTAGGGTCGCTATAGGCAGTCGGGTCACTATAGGCAGTCGGGTCACTATAGGCAGTCGGGTCACTATATGCAGTCGAGTCGCTGAAGCCAGTCAGGAGTCTAGTATGTGGTCTAAATCCTGTAAACAGTCAGATGGTGGTGCCCCTAGGCCTCTACAGGCAGTTGGATCCCCAATATGCAGTCGAAGTCCTACAAACACCACGACTAGATAAAGCAGGGCACTTCCTGTCCTACGACTACATCCACTGAATGCAGTCAAAATAATGACGTGTTTGACTGTTTGGACTGTTTGGATGTGAATGCGGGGAAAAAACACGGTTTTCGAGTTAGTTGCAGAGAGGACACGACAGAGAAGAAAGCATGTACAAAGTGAAAAGTTCCTTTTTTGCGCTGCTAATGTTCTGCAGTTGGAGTCCGAATGCCACGCTATAATCATTGCCTCGCTCTTCTTTGTAGCGTCAGGAAGTCAATATGCAAGTAGGGCTCACTTCAAGAAGTAGGAAAGGCTGTGAGCACTAGAGACAAAATACAATGTTGCACCTCTCACCGACAGAGGACAGGCCATCTTCGACATTCCCAGAGAACTCCTTCTGAATGGCCTTGATGAAATCATGACCTGTAAGCTGCAGAGAAGACAAACCACGATCGATGTAAAACGTGCACAGAGAAGATCAGTTTGAATCCTGCAGTATTCGTGAGAGGCGTTCTGAGCCGAGGAACTGGATGTTTGCACCACTGGAATGCTGAAGAGCATATTTTCAGGCCAAGGCCTTTCTCAGGCACTGAAATATAATTCAGGTTTTTACAGTGCCGTTTCCATGGTTGTAGCCAATGAGCGACGTTCCCGCGGTGGCCTTGATGAGCCGATAAAGGCCCGCACGCTGTCAGCCTAGCTCTACAGAGTGCAGGGGTCTGCGTCAGTTTTCCGTTGCCATCTCAGTTCATCTCAGGACCTTGCCGTCCTTGGCTTTGGAGGAGAGTAGAGTAAGTACATGGTTGAAACCAGGTCTACAATCATCAGTAGATTGGGCATGCCTGTAGACATGACCTCATGCCCAGTTCTGTTCATTGATGTAATAAACATACAAGTACTATGATGTAAGGTAGCAAAGGTGGCTACATGTAGTAAGCAATCCAGTATTCTACAAGCTAATGGCGATGTTGACAACAGGTTTGTACGCGTGTCAGTAAAGGAGTGACAAAACTAAACAGCTACAACCTGAAAACAATTCAAAACATTCTTCTTCTTCAAGGCCAAGGGAAAAATGGCAAGAGTTCTGGCCACCACGTCCCCGACCTCCACCCCTAGGTGGTATCGCGCTTAT